TACTTGACTCAAAAACTTCTCCTAATGGAGGAACAAACACGATTGTTAGGTTGGAAACTGAGTATTAGTCACAGATAGTGTCTGTTAATTTTCTAATCATGACAGATGTTACCTGGATGCTGAAAAATGCCAACTTTCAAAATCCTGAGGGGAGGACCCATTACTAAATAAAGAATGGCTAGCACAAGGAATGGGAAAGAAAATGAAGGTTTTCTGAGTGTCTTTTCCAAGGACTCTTCATAGCGCTGGGCAGGTTCCCATACCCTAATTAATCTTCTCAACAATACTATAAGGTAGCATCTTTTTAGGGTGACCATGTGCTGGGTCTTGCCTGTTGCCCTGCTGTCACCTTACTTTCTATTATCTGTACTTTAAGGTTGAAGGAATCTAAAGGAAGGTATTTTGTGCATGGTTATAAAGCCAGTACACTCCTTTCTGCAGCTGGATTTCTTCTAAGAATATCCCATGCCTACCTTGTCCAGCTACAGCCTGGCTTCTCTAACAAAGCCACCTTGACCTGCTGTTTGCTAAATCCATGGTCACTCAGGGCTTCATCTTACTGGACGTGTGTGCAGCACTTGATAGTGTTTACCACTCCCTTCTCTTCCATGCTCTCTCTTTGACTTCCATGGCAACATTCCCTGCTTGGCCTCTTTCACCTCTCTAGCCTTCCTTTCCAGTGTCCTTTTCTCCTCCCCTCCCTTTGATAGTGTTCCTCCCCAAAACTCTGCTTAATTTACACTTTGCCCTTAAGGGGATCTGATCTTTGACTGGCTACAGTTACTATCTGCTAATAATTCCCTCACCTAGAACTCTAGCCCAGAGCTGTCTTTCAGGATGCAGTCCTATATATCCAGTAAGATCTGGACATGTGCCTGCATGCCCCAGAGTTACCTCATATAGCTAACTAAAAATTCATCACTTTCCTTCCCAAAGTCCTCTTCCAGCAGTCCCTTTTTCTGCCAGTGGACTCACCATCCAGGCCAGACACAGGTGTCATCCTTGACTCCTCCCTTTGTCTTAGACCCCTGCCCAAATTATCAAGTCCTGCAATTCTCTCTTAACTTTAGTTGATTTTCTCCGATCTCCACTGCCACTAACGTAGTTCTGGTTGCCTTCGGCTCTCTCCTGGACTACTGCATTAGCGCCAGTCTCTCTGTCTCCACTTTCCCTCCTTCATTTCCTTCTCTCTTGACATTGTGGTCAAGTCACCTTTTTAAAATGCAAATATGATCATGGGATTCTCTCTATAAAACCCTTAACTCTGGGCTGGGCATAGCGGCTCATGTCTGTAATCCCAGCACTTTGGGAGGCCAAGGCAGGTGGATCGTGAAGTAAAGAGCTTGAGACCAGCCTGGCCAACATGGTGAAACCCTGTCTCTACTAAAAATACAAAAATTAGCCCATTGTGGTGGCAGGCACCTGTAATCCCAGCTACTCGGGAGGCCGAGGCAGGAGAATTGCTTGAACCCGGGAGGTGGAGGTTGCAGTGAGCCAAGATCGTGCCATTGCACTCTGGCCTGGGCAACAAGAGCAAGACTCTGTCTCAAAAAACAAAAACAAAAAAAAAACACTTAAGTTTGAATTGTACACTGTAAAAGTGTGAATATTATGGTATGTGAATTATGTTTCAATTAGAAAAAAAAAACCTGGTTTACAAAGCCTTCTGTGATTTGGTCTGGCTCAACATCTCTCACTGGCTGCCCTCCCCTTGCCTCCCATGTTCATCTTAACTTTACCATGCTGCAGTTCCTTCTGCCTGCAAGCTATCCATACTCTCTCAAATCTATGTTTGCATTTCCTATTTATTCTGGGCAGGAAGCATTCTCTCCTCCACCTATCCCTTGTCCTCTTCCTCTCCACTTGACTGACTCCTCCTTGTCCTTTAAACCTTAGTTTGAGATGATACTTCCCCAGAAGGCTTGATTCCCCACCCCCTCCCTCAGGACTGGGTTAGGTGCTCCTGATATGTGTTTCATACTTAGCTCTTTTGTAGCATTCACCAACTATTTGTTCATTCTATATTTATTGAGTGACTGCTCTGGGCTGGGCACTGGGTTAGATGCTGGGTGTTTCACAAATAAGCTATGTGGTCCCTGGCCCCATGATGCTTACAGTCTAAGAAGGGAAGAAAATGGACATTTAACAGTGAATTATTGTAAATATTTAATTATAATTATGAAGTTTCAGAGCACCCTGGGGAGGGCGCATTACGGGACTTGACATAATTGTAGGTATCAGAGAAAGTGTCATGTAAGCAACTTTAAGGAGCCAGGTGGCCAACTGAAGAGTGGCGGGTAGAGTGTTGCATGCCGAGGAACAACAGGTAAGAAGGCTCTGACACAGCCGGGCGCGGTGGCTCAAGCCTGTAATCCCAGCACTTTGGGAGGCCGAGGCGGGTGGATCACGAGGTCAAGAGATCGAGACCATCCTGGTCAACATGGTGAAACCCCGTCTCTACTAAAAATATAAAAAATCAGCTGGGCATGGTGACGCGTGCCTGTAATCCCAGCTACTCAGGAGGCTGAGGCAGGGGAATTGCCTGAACCCAGGAGGCGGAGGTTGCGGTGAGCCGAGATCGCGCCATTGCACTCCAGCCAGGGTAACAAGAGCGAAACTCCGTCTAAAAAAAAAAAAAAAAGAAGGCTCTGACACAAAGCTTTGGGGGCATTTCAGAAACTGAAAGGCCAACCTGGGAGACAAAGAAGAGCCCGGAAGAGCCAAATCTTACCTTCTGGATTAGGGTTTCTAAGCTCGTCTTAAGAGAAGTAGGTTGTCTTTGAAGACTTTTAACATGGGAACTTTAAAAGTTCCCCTGGGTACCGTGTAAATAATGAAGCAGGATGACAAGTTAAGAGACTCACAAACTTTCATGACTCTCCCACTAAACTGTAAGCTTCTAGAGGGCAGAAAAAGGTAGCACCAGGAATCCAAGCTGTTGCCACTAAATAACTATGACTCTGGGCAAGTTGTTTATTCTTCAAGTCTCAGCTCCTTCATCTGTAAAACAGCGATATTAATGGCTGTCTCAAAGGGTTGTGGTGAGGGTTAAGTGAGCTAACTTACGTAAAGCACTGGCTACAATGATACTCAATAATGGGTAGCTGTTATTCCAAACCATCGAGTTTACTGTTAGCACTCCTCTCTTCAGAGATTCACTTAAGATGATTACAAGGTGAGAAGATTATTTTTTATATCCACAGTTTCCAGGACTTTGCCTGACAGATGCTCAGTATCATTTTAATGAATAGGATAAATGATAGGGCCAAGATTCTAACCTAGGCTTTCAAGAAAGGCTCAGCTCAAGTATCAATGCCATATCTCCCTTACACACAACCCTTCAAAGACCATTTCTCCACTCCACCCTAGACAGGGCTGGATACTCCCCCTTTTACCTCCAGTGCATCTCTGGTGGATTGTATTTTCTAAATATGGCCACAATAATGTCTCACATCCCATGTGTTCTTACAGTGTAATTTTGAGACTCTTCCCACTGAGAGGTGGGAGCTAGTTCCCTCCCCTTGGAATTGAGGCTAGGTCATATGATTCAGCTTCCTCTTGGTTCTCTTGGGATGCTGTTCTTAGAACCCAGCCACAATGCTGTGAGGAAGCCCAAACTGCCCTGTGCAGAGGCCCACATGGAGAAGAAATGATAGTCGGCATTAAGTTGAGAATTATGTGAGTGAGCCATCTTGAAAGTGGATCCTCTGGATCCCAGCATTTCACACCTTTTGGAGTAGAAGTGAGCTGTCCCTGCTGAACCCTACCCATATTGCAAATTCATTGGCAAAATATGCAGTGATAGGTAACTAGAATAGCATCCCATGTTTGACATGCAGGGTGGCGGTATGTTAGTTGGATGGGCCATGACTACCTTGGTACTTATTAGTTGCATGACTTTTGGCAAGTTACTTAACCTCATCTCTGCTTTCGTGTCATTTTTCAGTATAAAAATAGCCTTAAGTTTGTTGGGAGGGTTAATGTTGGTAAATGCAGCTCTACAGGTAATACAGATTAGTCATGTAAGCATCTCCTCAGACATGCCTCTGACCATTCAACCATTACTCTCATATGATTCTGTTTGTCTTTATAGTACTTTCACTATATTAATCATATGCTTCTATATATGTATATGTATGTACAGGGTGAGCATTCCTAATCAGAAACCCAAAATGCTCCTAAATCTGAAACTTTTGGATGCCTGCATGACACCACAAGTAGAAAATTCTACACATAAGTACTTAACACAAACTTTGTTTCATGCACACAATTTTTTTTTTTTTTGAGATGGAGTCTCACCCTGTTGCCCAGGCTGGAGTGCAGTGGGGTGATCTTGGCTCGCTGTAGCCTCTACCTCCTGGGTTGAAGCAGTTCTGCCTCAGCATCCCGAGTAGCTGAGATTACAGGCACCTGTCACACACCTGGCTAATTTTTGTATTTTTAGTAGAGACAGGGTTTCACCAACAGGTTTCACATGTTGGCCAGGCTTATCTTGGCCTCAAGTGATCCTTCCGCCTCATAAGTGTTGGGATTACAGGCATGAGCTACCATACCCAGCCCAGGCACACAATTATTTAAAATATTGGCCAGGCATGGTGGCTCACATTTATAATCCCAAAACTTTGGGAAGCCTAGGGAGGAGGATTGCTTGAGGGCAGGAGTTTGAGGCCAGCTTGGGCAACATAAGAAGACCCTGTTTCTAAAAAAATAAAAAATTAGCCAGGCATGGTGGTGCTACTCTGAGGCAGAAGGTTGCCTGAGCTCAGGAGTTTGAGGTTACAGTGAGTTGTGATCATACCACTGCACTCGGGCCTTTACTGCTTTGATGGATTTGCTTCACTTACTCATTTACCAGCATTTTGGGTTTTTCTTTGTAGCGCTTCTGGTGTGCCCAGAATACCTAGTATTTGGGCTGCATATCTATTTGATTTTGAATCCTTAATCTTTGGCTTCCAAGATGAAGATCATTCAGGTTGCAAATTCTGTGTGCTTTCTTACAGCAAAACCATGTGCTCTTACTGATCCATCATCAAGTGGCTGTTCTCCCAACAGCAGGACATCCATGTGGACTCCCTAAACTTAGCTGTGGGGCTGGATGCATTAACCTTACTCTGATGTATGATTGGATGTTATAGTATCAATACCAAATGATGGATCCCCTTACTCAGCTCCAAAGTACATACAGCCAGATCAACATTTGGCACAGTAGTAAAACGCTTGAGACTAGCCATAAATTTAGCCCCAAAGGTTAAAGCTTTAGGAATTTCTGTCATGGGTTGCCATGGTTCTGCCACAGGTTGAGGCAGACCATTGAGACAGGTGCCAGAATATTGGGACCACATTGTATTGTCACTTTTGATATTTTACTTTTGAGGCTCTTTAAATGATTGTTGTGTGTGTGTGTGTGTGTATGCTATTTCAGGAGTAGGAGTAGGGGGTTGGGCTATTTGGAGAAGCTGATGGAAATTAAAGCACTCTTTTCCCAAAATAATACACATCAACACACACACACACACACACACACACACAGAGTATTCAGAAACAGTTTAGGATGGCCAGGTTAATAATCCACCTTTGACTTGCCATGAGGGTAGCAACTTTTTCTATACCATAATTTAGTTCTTTATCATGTACTATTCTCATTTATCTTTTCGTGTGTGCGTGCTTTATCCCAGTGAGCAGGCAAGCTTCCTACAAGGAACATATGCCTCTTTATGACCTCCAGTGATGTGTGCATGTAGGGACCTCACCTGGGGAAATGTTGCCAGTTGAGTCCTTTGAAGCTGCTGTGTTTCACTGAGGACAGGCAGCCTTCCCTTCAGCATTCCATCCTCCACCCACCACCCTCCAACACAAAACAGATTACCACAAGAGGACTTGGACCCTGCGTTCATGTTCTGTTTGCTTTCTAGGTTTTAGGCTAAAGCATATTTACATACTCCTCATGCAAATATCCACTTGGCTATTTAGAGAACAAAGCAGTGCCAACTGGAAAGTTTTGGGTTTTTTTTTTTAAGTCTTAATAAATGAATGCATTCTATTATTTAAATATTTATGATGTGTTTATTCCTTTATCACCTCCATACTTCACCCCATGAACTCCCATACCTGTAATCAGGACCCCCTTTTTGTTCTATCCCATGAATTCTCTAACTGCACTCCTTTCCTGGCATGTGCTTGTGCCAAAAAAAGCAGGCATAAGCCTGATGCTAATAGAATGGCAGCCATGTGGTTTTTCCTTTTTTTTCCTGGTCCTTCCCTCCCTCTTATAAATCTACAGGGCCACCTTTCAATCCTAACTTTGGAAGGGTTTTCCCATCTCCAGGCTGGTCTCCTTGACTGGCTAGGTAATTACAGCCACCTGGTGGCCATATGGGGAAATGACAGACGGATTGCTCCCAAAATATCTGGTGAGACCCTCGTTTTTTTGAGTTTTGCTCTTGTTGCCCAAGCTGGAGTGCAATGGCGCTATCTCGGCTCACTGCAACCTGCGCCTCCCGGGTTCAAGTGATTCTCCTGCCTCAGCCTCCCAAATAGCTGGGATTACAGGCGCATGCCACCATGCACAGCTAATTTTTTGTATTTTTAGTAGAAATGGGGCTTCACCATGTTGGCCAGACTGGTCTCAAACTCCTGACCTCAGGTGATCGGCCTGCCTCAGCCTCCCAAAGTGCTGGGATTGTAGGCATGAGCCACCATGCTCGACCAGAGACCCTCTATGGAATAATTTTTGGTTTTGGATATAGGGGAAGCAAGGAAAGAGAATCCTGTGGTAGAGACTATGGCACAGGAACCAGACATCCTATTGGTCCTTCCTTGCCTAGTAGGGCACAACATCTCCCCCACTAGTTATAGACAGATGAGTTTACTTAACATTTGAGTTAATTCAAAATTTATTGAGCAGCGTGTGCTCAGCAGTGAGAATATAGCACTGAGCAAGATGTGAGCAAGATCTCTGCCCTCATGAGCTTACAATCTAGCAGTGCAGCCAGCCAATTACATCCATAATTTTACAAATGTAACAAAAACTTGGTAAAATGCATGGTACTAACCGATTTAACAGAAAGTCTTGACCTACCAAGAAATCTGAAAAGGCCTCCCCGAAGAAGGAATATTTAGGATCAGCTAGGTGGAAGGTGAAAGGAAGAGTATTGCAAGCAGAGAGGACAGTGCGTGAGGGCTCTGAGGCAAGACGTTTAATGAACTGAGAGCCAGTGTGTCCGGGCCCTAGAGGACAAAGAGGGGTGTTATGAGATGAGCCTGAATTATACAAGGCCTTTTAATTTGGGACTTTATTCCAAAAGCAGGTGGAAGCCACTGAAAAAGCTAAGGAAAGTTAGATATTTAGGTTTCTTTTTTTTGGCTGACTCTCATTGCAGCATGGAAGGCAGAAGTGGACATGGGAGAACAGGTTAGGAAGTTTCCACAACAGTCTGGACAAGAAGTGATGGTAATTTGGAGAAAGATGGGTTCCAGAGATATCAGGAGACAGAATGTACTTGATGAGTGACTGGTTGTGTGAGGAAAGGGATGTGTTTCTGGCAAGAGGTACTGAAGTAGGAGTCTTTGGAAGAGGAACAGGTTTTGGCAGAATGAGAACATCCCATAGGCACAGGACAGGCCCTCAGGCTTGCACTAGAGGAACAGCATAGTTCCATTCTCAAATAGTTCAGGGTTTAATTGAGCAAACAAGGTACACGTAATTGCAGAGCTGATTAAAGATCAAAATGATCGATTTAGATAATTCACGGACTCCTGCATTCCATGGGGTTAGATTTAAACCCTCCATGTCACAGTAAATTCAGATACTGCTGAAGCCAACAGCAATGTTTCCACCTTTGTTCATGCCTCTCATAGCCCCTCAGAGAACACCTAGACAGCTCACCCAGTATCTCACAGGGGCCACCTTCTCCTGTGCTAGGCCCTGGTGCCCGCTGGCAGGAAGACACACTAAATTCTTCTTGATTTTTTTGCTTGCTGCTGCCAGGAAGTTCACCTGTTATTCTCAAATCTCCTCCCCTCCTTAAGTTGAAGGAGACCAAATCTAGCCATTTACCCCCATAGTGGTTCTTTTTTGGTCCCCAAGAGTTTCCTGACTTAACTTTACATTACCCCTTTCAAGGTCCCTCTTCTGGAGTCACCATCTTGCAACCCTGTCTTCCTCATCTTCTCCAAGTGGCAAACTGCCTCCTTTTTCTCCCTCTCCACTAATTTGCTGGCCTTTTCCCCACTGTATTTTTCCCTCAATTTGGTAAATACCCACCTCTTTGCCCCAGAAAAGTCAGAAGAGAAATTTGGGGTATGAGATTAACAAGGAAGTAGCCCCAATAGTTATTGCTTAGCTGACACTTAACCTTCCTTGCCTCCTCTTTGCCACAGGAAAACTCTGCAACCCCCTTCCAGAGACATTAACTGCTAACTATTCAATAGGCTCACAGTTTCCTGTTGTGCAAGGAGCCTAGGACAAAGCCACACCCCAAATACTTGCTCTGAGAGAAGTGGTTACAAATATTAACATGAGATTAGACATTCAGATGGTCCCTTTATATCAAAGAACATAGACTTTGGAGTCGGGCAGACTTGAATTTGCATCCTGGCTCTAGTAGTTTCTAACTAGTGTGCCTTTGAGCTATTAAACTTTTCTAAGTTTCAAAAGACTTATCTGTAAAATAGTAGTGGTATCCACCTTCTGGGGTCATTTTCTTGAAGAGGCTATTTGGGAGCTGAGGCAGGAGTATCACTTGAGGCCAGGAGTTTGAGACCAGCCTGGGCAACAGAGTGAGACCCTATGTCTACAAAAAATAAAAAAAAAATAGCCAGGCATTGTGGCAGGTGCCTGTAGTCCCAGCTACTCAAGGCAGAGGTGGGAGGATCACTTGCCCAAGAATCAGGTGCCCAGGAGTTCGAGGCTGCAGTAAGCCATGATTCTGCCACTGTACTCCAGCCTGGGTGACAGGGAAAGACCCCTTCTCTTTGAGGGGAAAAAAAAAGTGTGTGTGTGAAGTACCTAGCATAATATCTAGACTGAATTGCCTGATAATGATTCACTTCCTTTCTTTCCCTTGGGTTTCAGCTGCCAAATACTGTTCTACAAGTAAGATAAGCCAGCTTTGTATGGTCAATGATAAACATTTCCTATTCCTGTTTTTATAAATCCCATCTTCCTGCAGACATCTCATTTCCATCATTGCCAAAAAAGTTCTTCCATCTCTCACCTTTGTAGAACTACTCTCAACTCTCAAACAGTTCTGCCTGAACTCTATCATTTTCTACATCTCCCTAAACCAAGACACTTGATCTTCCTCTATCATTCCCAAAGATTAATTCACTTCTAGCATTCTCCCTAATTTTCTCAGAGCAAATTGTAATGAAGGCAGGGAATAGGGCCTTTACATTTCGGAAGGGCACAGGCTAGTTTCTAGAGAGGAATGGATAGCTAGGTCCAGGCAGCCCTCGGCCCCACCACTTTTCCTCAAGGCACAGAAAAAGCCAAACTCAAAATATGTCTTAAGTCTACATGAGTGTACGTCTCCTTTCCTACAGCTCTGTGAGATCATCATTGAAGTACAGAAGTATTGCAGGTGTGTGAAGTGTACTGTCCATATTGAGATAGTCAAATTCTTCTTCCTCATCCCGGATCCCATTCTCTTCCAGGGTAAAATCCATGTTCAGGTTCTTCCCTTCATATTTCCACGTGTAGCTGGCAGCATGTGCATTATAGGGGAGATAGCGGTGTAGGATTTCCCATATTGACTCCAGAACCCCCACCTGGAGAACACAGAAGCACCCACTCCCAGAATTCTGGATGGAGTATATACACACACACTAGGATCAGAGTACCTCTCTTGGCAGAGAGCAGCTTCAGGCACTCTACAGCCCCAGAAAAAGAAAAAAGCTGAAACTCCAGCATGCAATGAACAAGACCCTACAGATCTGAATGGCAGCCAATTCTAAATAACCCATGGCCATAAAGGGTCAAATGTCCCCTCACTATATCCATGCAATAGATTAATAAGAAAGTTGAAATGCTGTCCAACAGCATATAAGAGCTTCGAAGGACCACCATCACTGAGATGCATGAACTGCTGTCCCGGGCTTATAAAGGAGTCTCTTGTCCCCTTGTGACCCAGATACTCCTAGAATTCCCAACACTGGGGACCTAGGTGCTGTGCTTTCCTCAGTAGCCTCAATGTAAAGGACAGAAAATATAGCTCCCACCGGTTATGGAAAAACTGATAGCCTGAAGATCGGCCTCAAGATTTGCTGGGATTCCTGTTCCCTCTAACCTGCCCTCCCCCCCCCAACACCAGTTCTCACCTCCAGTGTGTGCTCCTGCGACGTGAGCGTGTTAATGATGCGGATGCTCCGGCTCTTGGCAGACAGCCGCCCCACCTCATAATACGACCTCTGCCACCAGGGCTTCCCAAAATCGTTGGCCCAGTCCGAACAGGGCAGCTGAGGCGGAACGTGCACAAAGCGGCCCCGCGGGGTGCAATACCTCAGGCAGCCGGTCAGCGGATCTATGTGCTTGCGGATCTTTAAAGGAGGGTTTGGGGCAAGGGGGTTGAAGCCAGATCCTATTTAAGGATCTAGCTAGCCTCCGCTTTTCCTCCCCATTCCCGCTCTCCATTGCCTCTACTCACAACCCCAGATTCCAGCAGAACTCACGTCTCTGGTCTTTGGATCAAACCAGTGACTGATGTCCTGGCCCGCAACTTCCACGATGGGTTTCAGCAGCAAGTTCCCTGGGAAAGAGCAGCCACTGTCAATGCCAGCCCTTCAAGAACCAGGCAAGCAAGCAAGCAAGCGCGCGCGCACACACACACACACACACACACACACACACACTCCGGCCGCAGCCCAACGTGTGGCCCTTACCCTTATATTCCTGTGCCAATGGCGTTAGGTCGTACACGCGTCCCAGGTAAGACACCCAGAGGTCTTCGGGCCTGTTATGTTGGGCCACCTCCGCCGGCGTGAAATAGCGACGCTGAAAATACTCTAAATCTGGCCCAGCCACCAGGCCCCGGCGCGGCATGGCTCTTGCTCTGTCGGTCACTGGCTCCCTTGGTTACTCCTTTGCTCCTCAGCACGCACGCACTACTGCGACCTCCGTCGCGTCCGGGAGCCAAGGGGAGCGCGTTTATCCGCTGACATGGAAACCATTGTCCTTTCCCGGCCACCGTCCACTGAGATTAAACACCGGGACGGAGCTGGGACTGCAAGTGTTCACGGGAAACGTAGTGTGAGTCCCGCATCGGGCATAGAAAAATCAAGTAATTGAGTTTCGCCGCTTTCAGGAACTGAAGCCTGCGGTGGGGAGCGGGGAAGGCGCGGAAAACGAATATGCTCCGTTTTAATTCAGTGGCCTGGGTTATGTGGGAGATTTAGTACAGACTATCTCCCTGAGACACAAAAATAAGGGAGGAAGCAGTATGAAAGAATGTATTCTTGCTAAATTCCAGAGTTTCTAAAGGATAAGAAACTGAGGTAAAGGTCTCGCGATATCTGAAGACATCCGGCGTAGTACGTTTCAGTGAGCCACAGCACTAGGGAGGTAGGAGAAGCTCGCGAGATCTCTGCAGTTGCCGAGGAGACTAGGAGTGGGAGAAAAGGTGATCTCGCGAAAGGAAAGGGATCGGGAGCGCTCGCGAGATCTCGGACCACTCAACCTGAAAGGTGCTTAGGAAGCTGAAAGGCCCAGAGGAGGCCTCCGGGCAAATGGCTGGAGCTGGACCGACCATGCTGCTACGAGAAGAGAATGGCTGTTGCAGTCGGCGTCAAAGCAGCTCCAGCGCCGGGGTTAGCAAGGGCTCTGATTCTGGGACTGAGGGGCAGTCGAGCAGCAAGATGGAGGGTGTGGGGAACTGCAGCTCCCGGCAGCCTCTGGGCTTTGTGTGAGTGCCCTGCGGGCTGCCGGGAGCTGTGGTTCCTCGGGCGGGCAGCCGGGGTTGTGCGGTCTGAGCGCTTGTTCCACCCCGCGCAGGATTCGGACGGAGAGCGCGAGGACTCGGCGGCTGCGCGCGCCCGGCAGCAGCTAGAGGCGCTGCTCAACAAGACTATGCGCATTCGCATGACAGATGGACGCACATTGGTTGGCTGCTTCCTCTGCACTGATCGCGACTGCAATGTCATCCTGGGCTCGGCGCAGGAGTTCCTCAAGCCTTCGGGTCAGTGCCTGGGGAATGCACACCCTTTTGGGAATGTGGCGGAACCTTACGCAAGGCATTTCCCCTGCAGGGCCTGGCTGCACCCCTTGTTTTCTGGGACCCGTTTTCGTGGCTCAGAGGGGCGGGACTGATTCTGGCCTGTGTCCCTGATGCTCTGATCCTTCTTTCCAGATTCCTTCTCTGCCGGGGAGCCCCGTGTGCTGGGCCTGGCCATGGTACCCGGACACCACATTGTTTCCATTGAGGTGCAGAGGGAGAGCCTGACCGGGCCTCCGTATCTCTGACCACGATCGCATACACCTTTCAGACTTCATTAAACTTATGACCGAATGGGCCTGTGTCTGTGTGTACCTGGGATGGCAGGGCAGGGATAGCACACCTCACCCCTAGAGGAAAGGCTTCATCTGAAGTCGGGAGCACTCAACCCTCCTCTCCCAACCGGGTTGTCCAGGGGTGCCAAAGGTTCTCTCAGGTTCAGAGGTAGAGATGGGGGACAGGGCTGAATGACAGACCAACAGGCCCCAGGGTGGGCCTCTGCGTCTTCCCTCCCACGCTGCTGCTCCAGAATTGTGGTGGGAGGGGGTGTCATCCTGCTCCGGAAGGCCCATTGTTTCCCGCCCCGGCCTGGCAACACCGAGTTCCTCTAAGCTGGGGTCAGAGAACGGGCTCAGGTCCCCAAGGGGAGCAGGGCAGGCGTCCGAGGCTGGGCCCCCTCCTCTCTATTGATGGGGAGATGCCTGGGGTCAGGGACAAATCTCTGAGGTCTGGCCAGGAAGAAGGGACAAAAGCGATAAGGCCAGGGGGCTGAATGATGCACCTCTCTGCGCATTTGCAGCCCTGGCACATGTTTCCTGTTCCTCGGCACAGGGCAGGGATGATTGTACTTGTGCCACCCTTCTGTTCGCAGAGCACGTTCGTTAAATCTTTATTGATGCGTGGACACTCCTTCCCCTCCGGCCCCGCCTCCCAGCCCCAGAAATACCGGAGGAGCTGCCCCATAAAAGGAGGGCATGAGATTGTGGTCCCATTCACGACAGGGCTGAAGGGGAGGTGTGCAGGGTCCAGCCCAGAAGTTGAGGATTTAGAAGTGGGTAATGGAGGGAAAGGGGGTTTTCCGGGATGTAGGGGCTTTCATCAGCACTGGGTCAACTGATGCAGCTGTTCCCAAAGGGATGTTAGGACTCCGATCAGGCAGGGGTGGGGGCAGGGCAGGTCGGAAGATGCGGGGCTTCCAGTCCTTAGGCCGAATAAGAGGGAAGGCAGCCGTCAGGGTTCTTCTTGACTCGGGGATAATTAGACCCAGACCTTTCCTGATGTGGGAAGGGCCTGGGACCCTGGTGAAGCCCGGGTTTGCCTCGGCTGCGAGGCGCGCCGACGCCGATAAAGGGCTCGGCTGTAGGGCACGAGGCAATCAGCTAGGCGGAGGCGCAGGCAGAGGCGGCGGTAGCTGGCCAGAGCAAGCACGAGCAGCGGCACGAGGAGCAGGAATCCGGTGACCAGAAGGGCCGTGAAACCGGGGTCCCGCAGGTGCGCGGTGCAAGGGGGTGCCTGGGAGCGCAGGAACTGTGGGAGAAGAGGAGTCAGGCCCAAGCCGACTGGGTCATAACTGTGCACGGGGTGGAAACAGCCCAAGCGGGTTGAAGTTGTGGCCCATAAACCCCACCGCCAGCATCACCACACACCAACACCCAACACTCACACCCCGGGGCGCACGCTTACCTGAGAGTGGCAGAGGAAGCCGAAGCCCAGCATGGTGACAGCGGGTAGCAAGATGGTCCCTAGCACCAGCGCCAACAGGAGAAGATTGAAGGCAGCCACCAGCAGATTCTGGGCTGTTACAAGCACAGCGCAGGCCCAGCAGTCCAGGGGGTCCCGGGGCTCTGGGCCGCCGGGAACCGTTCGCTGTGCCCCGGGGACATCCGCCATGGCCTGCCTGTATCCCGCCCGCCTGGGCCGCTGCCTTATAGTCCTCTTTCCTGCCCCTCCCCCGGCCCAGCCTCTCCCCACCCCCCTTATCCTGGAATGCGGCTGTAGGATTAGGCACCCCCCATCCTGAGGAGCGGACCAGAGCCCTGGACATTCCACAGGCACCTCCGGGGAGGGGCTCGCCCTTGCCAGGGTCTGCGCAGTCCTCCCCATCAATCACGGTCTTGCAGCCCTCCCGGTACTCTCCCTGCTATCAACCAGCACGTTAGCGAAACAGGATTTTTTTTCTGCTTTTATTTTTAATATTAATATTCTCACACAAAAATCACTGAAAATAGGGGTAGGGTTGGGAAGACCCCTCTGCCCCTAGGGCAGAGAGACAGTGCAGTGCGAGGGTGCGGGACTGTAAACCCCCCATCCCTCCGCAGCCCCAGCGTGGACAAAAAACCACCAACAAAACGAAAATAAAGCCCCAGAGAAACTCACCCCGGGGTGTCCCTGCCCCAGTGAGGCCCTGGCCCTGGGTTGTTTCACACTTAAAAACAAAAGGGGGTGGGGGTGAAGGTCTGTGTTTTTAAAGTTGGCCGGGACCGGGAAGGACGGGGTTCCTTTTCCTCATAGTTTTCTTTAAAACCTTTAAATTTTTTTATTTTATTTATTTTTTTTTTACAAAATACCATTTCAGTTCCCACTTCTTCCCCTACAGTACAGGAGTCGCTCACCCTCAGGCGGGGTTGGGGTCGGGTCAGGAGTGGGGGGACTGGTCCGAGAAAGTGCAGGACACAGGGGAGGGGAGCGGGTTTGAGCACCATGAGAACCCGGCTGGAGCCGCGGACGGACGGGTGGAGACGGTCGGGCCGGGCCCGGACACACACGGGCGCAGGGAGAGCCCGGCGGTGGGCGGTCCCCGGAGGGGCGGGCAGGATGGCTTGGGGGTGTGGGAGGTCGGGTTTTCCCAAAAATGAATAAATAGAGGTGAGTGGGACTGTTATAAATTAAAAACCAAAAACAAAAAAGAACAAAAATTACAAATCATAAACCAAGTGAATAAAGAGACATGTACAGGGGTCACAGCTAGCATTGGAAGTAAAAAAGGAGGTTCTGGGGGAGGGGTAAAGCCCATAGAAAGAATCTCATTAAAAACCTCGGCTGCCGTAACGTCTATGTACATACACGAGCCGCGTGCATCTGCGCCGGGCGGGCGGGCGGCTGGCAGGGTGAGGGAACCCGTATGTGACCCCCGCCGCCGCCGGAGCCTGGTCCTTGTGTCTGTTGCTAAAAAGGCCAAAGTCGGTGAGGGGAGGGGCTGGTGGGCGAGGGGCTGCTAGCCCCCTCCCCCGTCTCCCATTTTTTTTCCTTTTTTCCTCATATTTGCTAAAAAAAAAAATGTTTTTCTTAATAAATTAAGTGAGGGGAGCTGCCAATGGGGTGGAAGGGCTGGGCCCGACCCCCTTCCCGGCCAGAGGCGGGACCCAGGTCCAGCCTAGGCGTGTGCTGGTGGCCCCGCGGCGCCCTGCGAGGGCCGGCAGGCGGGCGGGCGGGGCATCTGGCCTCATCGCGACGTGCTGGCGGGGGCCTGTGGGGACAAAGCCGGCAGTGGCTCAGAGGCAGGCACGGCCAAGCCCCTGAAGCCCGTCCCTGCAGCCTGCCCCAGTGCCCTCCTCCGCTGACCGCGCACCCGCGGGGCCCTCACCAGCGTGAAAGCGTCATAGGCCTGCGCCAGCTCCTCCGTGCGGTACTGCTCCAGCACCACCACGCCCTGGAGGCCCGCGCTGCGGCGCCGGGCACAGCCCTCGCAGTGTACCAGGTACGTGTTGCGGCTGCCGTTCTCACTTGTCACGAACAGGATGTTAAACACCTCCACCTGGGGCAGGGAGGAGGGGGCAGTCAGGAGGAGGGAGGGCCACTGTGGACACACTCAGGGGGCGCAGGAGAGCCAGCCCACTCACATCGCACTCGTTGCAGTAGTAGGCTGGTTCGTCCTTGACCCGGCCCTGGTAAGCGATTTTCTTCCCTGCCCGCACCAGGCTCTCACGTTGGACCTGACAGTGCTTCATGGACTGGAGCAGGCAGAATCTGGGGAACAATGGGGTTGTATTGAGGCCACCGGCAGGGAGGGCTGGGGCAGGGCTGGAGCAGGGGCAGAGGGGCAGCTCCAGGGCCCTCCCCGCTTCATGTCCAGGTCCCATCCTCTGTCCTGGGCATCTGTCATAGGTGAGATTTCCTGTGGCTTTTGTCTATTTGGACAACTAGGAAAGGTCAAGACCAGGGACCTAGGTAGCTTTCCCAGCATAGTAACGCTTGAGGCACAGGCAGACACGGATGGAGAGAGGTGAAGAATGGGGCGCAGTCAGACAGGAAGAACTAGAACAGGGATCGGGTAGGTGGAGATGGGCTCCCACTCAGGGTCCTCACTTGATCATCTTGAACAAGTCAGGGTCGCTGATTTTGACCGTGCGAGCCACGTTCCATGACACGTGGATCATGGGCACGATGGATTTGACGTTCTTCACCTCGTTCCACTCATATCGTTCCAGGGCCAGCTGGTACTGATAGGCTGCGGGCCAGAGGCGATCACAATAGGACTCTCACACAGCCCCCAGATACCTAGGCCCAAGCCCTTTCCCTCCCTGCTGGCGGCTCTCCAAGCCCCTCCTCACAGCCCCTTGCCGCTGAGGCCCCACACCCCGCCAACACCTGCCCCACCCTCTCACCGGTGAGGGGCCCCACGTTCCAGGCAATGTTGTTGCACCAGCCGGTGGCCTGCACCCAGTGCACAGTCCCCGCATTAATCCACACGAGATCTCCAGGGCGCTGCACAAAGCGGTACACAGGGATATTGGATGCATAGAGATCATCCAGGATTGGCCACCAGGAACCCGTCAAGTAGTCCACGCCGTGCCTGCGAGGTGGCCACAAGGTCAGGTGGGAACTGGGGACCAAGGGCGGGGACGCGGCAGACTGACTTGCGTGGGACAGCACGCACCGGTCACAGAAGGCGCTGATGGTCTCCCAGTAGTGCTCGTGCACCGCGAACCACTCGCAGTCACCTGGGCCAATGTTGATGTTGACGGAGCAGAAGTTGTTATTCTCTTGGTGGCCTGCAGGGGTCGACAGAGAACGGCATGGCTGGCCCGGTCAGAGCTGCAATCCCCGCCAGCCCCGCCAGCCCCGCCCTCTGCCCTCATTGGCTGACGGCTGAGCGCCGCCGCCAACCCCTCCTCTTGCGCTTCCCGAAACGGCGCGCCCAGGCGTGGAGCGCACCTGGCGTTCGGCTGCCGGGCACCTTCATATACAGCTGCACCGTGTTCATGCCCAGGATGGTGTGGCCCACGTGGCTCAGCATGTTGCCCGTGGATGTTACCCGCATGAAGGCGGGCAGCTTCAGCAACTCCTGCAGCTGGGGCTTCCACCTGCGGTGCGAAAGTGCGACGAGAGTCAGAGGCTCCACCCCGCCCCTGCCGCGAGGTCCCAGCAGCATTCCTGCCCCAGCTTTGCTAGCCTCAGCCCCACTGACCGCTTGGCATCAGACAGGTCGATGTTGGTGCCAAACTTGATGATGTGATGGTTCTTCGGGTCTGGTGCGCTGCCGCTGGGGCAAAGAGCACAGGTTTTAGGAGAGCAGAGGGAGGGGAAGGAGGCAGGAAGGGAAGGGACACACCGGTACCGTACCTAGGAGGGGTTCCTGTGGTGCTGTCCGGCTCCTCTGACTCCTCATCCTCACTCTCCTTCTCCTCCTGCTCAGCCAGAGGGTCGGCAGGCCTGGGTCAGAGACCTTCCAAGAGCCCTCCCACCGCACCCCCAGTCCCAGGACCTGCCTCGTGCCACGTTCTCCTCTCACCTGCAGAGACTCCTGGAAGGATGAAGCCTGATACTGTGCGTACTTGGCAATGGTGGTGTGGGAACGGGAGCTCTCGCAGGGCCAGATCTGTCGAGTGCCTGTTAGGTCCCAGTTCTCATCTGAGGGCTGCTGCACCTGCGTGCGGACCTCCACGGTGTGCTCGCCACTCGCCTCCACCAGTGTCTTGGTGGAGAATAGGCCCAAGTCTGCAAGGGAGGGCCAAGTAGGGCGTCGGGGCAGAGGCAGAAGATAGGGACCAAGGACCTGACAGACCCTTTCCCTTTCCTCCTCCTCTGGCCTCTGACAGGGTGGTCCTAGGCTTAGCAAAGCTCAGCCCAGGAGGAATAGGCAGAAACCCTGGCCCCACAGGAAACTGGGAGTGCTAGCTTCTATCTGCATCCTCACCAGCCCTCTTTCTCCTGCAGCTGCTCAAGGACTCAGCCCCTCGACCAGTGTCCTCAGGTGTACACGTGGCCATATGCACCGCACCTGGCACATACTAGGTGCTCAATGAATGTTGGGTTCTCTTTTTCCCCATTTGGAATCTTTCTAGTCAAAACAGCAGCTGCTTTGAGATACCACTGGACCCAATTAAAGATTCAGTCAAGTGAAAACCTGAAATGCGCTTTAAATAACTCAGTGTGGAGAAGGGAGGTATACAGGTATAAAGGAGACAAGATTGACCTTTATATTTCTATACAGTTTCCTCTAATTTTCTGTGTTTGGAATTTTGCGCAATAAAAGACTGAAAGAGAGAGAGCCCCAAAATCATGTCTTAAGGGGTATTCTAAAATCTGTATTCTTCTCATCCTTAATCACCAAAAAATTCAGAAATGACTAGGGCCCTCACTATGGCCCCTTCTCCCTTGCCAAATGCTGGGGATAGACAGACAGATAGGAGAAGAGCCCAAGGCCAACCGACTCATCACTCAGAGGACTCCTGATAGCCACTGTGGGTCTTCTGGTGTGGGACTTCTCAGAGGATCCCACATTCCCCAGACCCTTGTAGCCCTCCCTGACACTCTGCCTCCCATACTCACTGAGCCGCAGGGAGCCCGCCAGGCCCCGGATCACTGTGATGGGATTTCGAGGGTCTGTACAGAACTGCAGCAGGACTGGTGAGAAAGCATCCCGTTTGCTCTCCAGCTGAGACATGACCAGAAGAGCTGGGGTCAGAGCCCTGGCCCAGGCTCAGAGCACCCCAGCTGTCCCCAGCACTGTCTTAGAACCCACTGGTAGGGGTGGTTCTGAGTACAAGTGGCACACATACATAGATACTAGGTGTAGGGGGGTTGAGTTTTTCCCGGGGCAGCTTCTCCTCAGTGTTGATCTTCGGTTTCACAGACTGGGCAGGGGAAAGGTAGGACTCTCGAAACTTCCCTTTCACCTTGGCATTCCTGTGGGAGGACAGTGGGATGAAGACAGGAACATCAGGGTGATGGGGGGAAAGAAGCCTATCCCCAGGCCAAGCAGGCAGCCAACTCACTTGCTGGCACGCACAACATCAGCAGCACAGTGGCTGATGGTAAGGTCTGCCATACGCAGCCGCCGCTCTTCCACCTCAGAGGCGATAAAGGTCTCTTTGTCACCACTCTCTACCTTGATGAGCCGGATCTTCAGCTCCTTGGGGGGCCCCTCACTAAGTGAGCGCAGCTTCAGCATGTCAGCCCGGCTGACACCTGGTGGCCCTGGAGCTTCCTCCCGAGCCTTCTTTCCAGGGACAGGGGCTGATGGGGGTGTGGGCTGGGCAGGAGGTGCAGGAGCTGGTGGAGGGGCTGGAGCTGTGGGTGGCTTGGCCTTGGAGGCCCCGCCAAGATCGGGCCGGGACTTCTCACGACCCTGGATCTCCTCACTCTGCAGGTCCAGGTTCCCCAGCACCCGGCGGCTCTTTTCTTTGGGGGCTTTGGCCTTGGCCTTTGCCCTGCCCTCACGGGGCCGCCGACCTACACTGTCCTTACAGGCCCGCCTGTGCCGCCTATGCTCCTTCTGGTGCTCCTTCTGTCGCCGCTTACAGCTGCCTGACACCACTGCTGCTGTCACCCCGCCACCCTCCTCCTTGGCCTGGGTGGGAGGCAGTAGTCGCTCAATCCCACTGTCCGTTGGGTCTGCTGTGTCCACTGGGTCTGCTGGGTCAGTGGCACTCCGGCCCACCCGCTCCACAAGGGTCTCACAAGCCCGACTGATCTCTTCTAGCACCTCAGACTCAGAGCGAGCAGGGGGCAGAGGCAGGGGTGGGGGTGGCTGGGTGGGGGTCGTGGGGCCCGGGGCTGGCTCTTCGCCCACCCTGCGCTCCCGGGCCCAGGGCCCGCCTGAGGTAGAGAACTGAGATGACGAGGAAGCGGAGGGCTGTGGGGAGCCCTGGGCGCTAGGGGCCGCTGAGGTGGGCGGTGGGGCGGTAGCACCTGATGGGGGGCCAGGGGAATACTGAGTGGTGGGCAGGGGCCCAGGCCGGGTGGAAACAGCTGCTCCAGTCCCCCGATAACAGTACTTTTGTCCCTCCAGCACAGAGGCCAAGGATTTGAGCAGGCTGGCCGGGCTGGCGGGTGGGGGTGGGGGTGGGGGTGGCTGTGGCTGGGGGGGGTGGGGGGGAACTTGGCTAGAGGCGGTGGTGGCGGTAGGGCTGGTGGTGGCTTCTTCTCCTCTTCCTGGGTGGCCGTGGTGGTGGTGGTGGTGGTGGTGGCGGCAGCAGGGGCGGCAGGAGCAGTGGTGGTGGGGGCTGTGTCGGTGGGAAATGGAGGCTGCAGAGAGGCAAAGGGCTCCTTCAGAGGGGGCGGGGGGGCCACGCCTGCTTCCTGTTGTTGCTGTTCCTCCTCCTTGCGAATAGATTCATCCAGCATCTTCATGATGTTGGCCAGCCCATCAGGTAAGATCTTGAATTCGGCTGGCTCCTCAAACTGGTCCTCCAGCGGGGTGGGGGGAAAATCAAAAAGTCGCGGGCCTCGGGCAGGCAGTTCCCCAACCCCAGGCGGCACAGGCTGGGGGGCTTTACTCAGGGGACCTGGGGGTGGCCCCGGCCCCACCTCGGGGGTCTTTGGGAAGGAGACCCTGGGCCGGGGGCTCTCCGGGCGCCTGAAGCTTCCTGAGGTATTTTGGTGGCAGGAGGAAGGAGGGGCTGGAGGCAGGGCAAGAGTCAGGGGTGCAAGAGGTGGGTCCTGGGGGCTCTGTGCTGGGCTGGGAGGCCGGGGAAGGGGGTCCATACTTCTGGCCAGATAGGGTGGTGGGGGAAAGGACACAGGCCCAGCAGGGCTGCTGCTGTGGCTGCCGTTGTTGCTGCTGCTACTGCTGGTGGTTGGGGTTGGGGGAGTGGAAGGGGTGTGAGAATCCTGAGTGCCCACAGAAAAGCGGGAGGCCAGAGGCCCCAAGAAGCCCTCGCGGTGGGGGAGAGGTGGTGGGGCAGGTCGGGGGGGTCCCTCAGTCCCAAAGAAGAGCTCCTCTAAGATCTCTCTGTCCTCTCGAGCTGCCCGGCAGGCCGCACCCTTTAACCAGGCAGGGGGTGGTGGGGGGCGTAAGAGGCGGGGACAGGGTGGTGGAGGGGGTGAGGAAGGTCCAGGTGGCAGGGATAGGTGGGGAGTGGCAGCTGGAGCCCCCAAGAACGGTTTCCGACTGCTGTGTGCCGAGGGCCCCAGGCGGCTCTGGTGAGTGACTTCCAGCGTGGGCGTTTGGTAATGGTCAGCGCCGGGCTGCAAGTGTAGAAGGGGGTGGTTGGAGCACAGCTCGGGCCACCTCAAGACGAGCTCCACCCATCACCCCTCCACCCGAAGTTGTCAAAGTTGTCACTCACAATGCCTGGGTTCGGCTCCATGCCCCGGAGACCGGTGTTGCTGCTGCTGCTACTGCTGCTGGTGGTGGTGGTGCCGGGGAGGCCAGGGGGCCGGGAAGGGGCGTAAGGCACGCAGGCGGTGGTTGCTGCTGGTGAAACGCTGGAGTCCATCCGCGACCTCTGAACTCTGCTCTCTCTAAGGTCACTTCCGGGGGGACGGGTGGCAGGCAGGCAGCCATGGCTCTCTGCTCCTGGGGGGCGGGGGCCCGGGCCTGGGGGTGCAGCCGGGACCATCCGGTGGCCAGGGGGGTGTGCAGTGTATGCTGGAGCTGGGTATGGATATGGGTGAGGCAGCGAGTGCCGCTGCTCCTAGGAGATAAACAGGGATGCAGGATGAGGAACAGAGAGCATGGGATTTGCAGTTGAGAGGTGAAAGGCAACAGGCAGGGGCTCACCTGGCGCTCTGGGGGAGCTGAACCCTTGCGCTCTGGGCCCCAGGCATCTCCATGCAGGGTACTCCATAGCCCTGGCTTGGTTAGCTGAAATGGGGGGCTGGTGGCCAGGCCAGGCAGGGGTGGTGGTGGCGGTGGTGGTGGTAATGGTGGTGGAGGCAGTGGCAGCCCTGGGGGAAGGCCAGTCTAGGAGAGAAAAAGGTGTGAGAACCCCATTCCTTAGGCAGCCTAAGTCCTCCCTCCTCACTGCCTGCTGGCCCGATATACCCACACCTGTTCAGAGTTGCAGCCTCTCCTTCGCTTGCCTCCAGGGCTGAGGCCCTCCTCCCCTGAGGGGCCTGAGAGTGCTGCAGGAGGCACAGGCTGCACCACCGGGGGTTCGGCAGCTCGCTTCACTGGGGGACCTCCCCGCTTGGCTCCATAGTTCCGCTTGTGCTGAGAACAAAAAGAGGGAAGAGAAAATGGCACGGGTGCAGGGACAGCCTGGCCCTCCTCCCTAACTCATTCAGCGCCAGCCTCACCTCAAGGTGCAGCAAATTCCACACTTGCTCCAGGGGGGGTAGGACCTTGGCTCGGTGCTGGCAGGAGCCAGTATGAAAGTTCCAGAGCTGGGCCGGGGGGGGGGGGGACACGGGACAGGGGCAGACATCAGGTGGGGCACTAAGCCAGAGGCACAGTTGTACAGTCCTGTCCCCCATGCCCTACCTCATCCTACCTGCTGCAGTCGGCCAATGCGGGGCCCCAGCTCGGCGAAGCTTCCTCCGTATCGAAGGGCACTGTGGTAGCAACGTGCGGCCTCTTCACTGTCATGCTCTGACTCGTATAGTTGCCCAAGCTGTTCCCACAGCCCTGGCTGGGCTGGCTCCCGGAGCAGTGCCTGCACACAGCCATGCAGGGATTCCAGCTTCCCATGGAGGGGTCTTGGAGTGGGCACCCTACAGAGCAGAAGGGGTGGGGGTGGGGGTGGGGGTCGGGCTTGAGAGGACTCTTTCAAGCCCCTGGTCTTACCTCCCACCCCAAGAACCTTCAAATGTCCACTCACCCTGGGGCATAATATGGTTTGTTGGGGTGCCCAGAACTACTGCCATGTGAAGGGGGTAGGGGTGCAGGAAGCGGGGGCTGCCCAATGCTGGCTGAGCATCTGGAAAGAGAAGGAGTCTATTATATACAGCAAGAAGGAGCAGTCTTGTCCTACCTAGGCAGAAGGGGGCTGAGAGAATAAGAAAAAGCATCTGAGGACTACACAGAAGCCCACAAAATGACAGGAACCCATGGAGAATGACACAGATTGAAGGGTACAGAAATGGAAAGAGATATGCCTGGAGACAGAGGGCCCCAAGTTCTCACCTGCCTCCAGGCAGCCATGCGCTACGAGGAGGGGGATGGGGCGGGCAGGAGCTCCAGGCCCCAGCACAGCTCAGGCCCCCAAGGGCAAAGGCTTCCCGTGCAGCGCGGGCCCCTGGAGGGTCCACTGCCCGATGCATCCAGCCTGAGTTGGGCATAAAAAAAATTATGCTCTCACTGAGGGCAAAACCAGAGCTGCCAGTGTACACCCAGCCAGCTTGACCCCAGATCTTCCCTTACCAGGTCAGCAGTGGCCCCAGGAGCCCTGGAGATCGGGCACGGCCCCCTGCCCCAGCTCTCTGGGACGATGGTCCGGCTCCAGCCGCTCTGATAAAGAGTGCCCGCTACCCCCAGATGGCTGCCTGGGTCCTTTCACAGCCAATTCTACAGACAGAAGGAGGAAAAGGAGTGAGACAAGCTAGCCAGCACATAGTTAAGGCCCAGTGGCTGGGCTGAGCGGACTGTGGCATTCACCAATCTGTCATTTGTGCAAAAGGCCCGGCCTTGGCTTTCCCCAAGGGGAGGCCCACCCGATCCAACCAGCCCCTACAGGCCCAGGAGTGTGGCTGGGAGCTGGGATGTGTGTGGCAGGGAACCAAAAGGCCGGTGGGAGGGACGGGGTGGCTGCGCTACCAGGCTTCCAGTCCGGAGTCACCAGGCCACCCCGCAACGCAGCGGCCGCTTACCCGGCCTCCGTGGGAGCGTCCTCTCACCGCGTCGGCGAGCTCCAGAGATCTGGCCAATCACAGGACTTCCTCTCTCCCCAGAAAGCCAATCATCACCCGTGTCTCCGCCTCAGTAACAGCCTGGCCGGAACCAATGGGAGCGAGGTGAGCCCAGCAGCCGAGGCTGGGGGAGGAAGGGCGCCGGAGCCGGTCAGACGGGCTTAGCCCCGGGTGACCCCGATGTGACCCCACGGCTCCTACCTAGGGTCACCATCTAGGATCTGACACTCTGGCCGGCAGGGCCAGAAGGCAGCCAGGACGCCAGGACAAGACGCGTGCGGATGAGGGCGGTGAGTCGCACGCTCGGCCCGCGTGTGGGCTGGCGCTACCCGCAAGCCTCACGCACCCAGAGCCCGGTGGTCACGGCCAGGCCGCTCGAGTCGCCCCGCGCCGGCCATCACAAGACCGACGGACAGCAGATGGATGCGGAATGCAAAACAGACATCCCTCCCCTTCCTCACTTCACCTTGCCCAGTGACTGACCTCCTCACCCCAGCGCCCCTAAGAACTGCTTAGGGCTGGCCAGCCACGGCGACTTCCACAGCACCCAGACCCGTCCGCGGCGCTAGCAGGGCGCTCCACCCCCAATGCCTGACCCCGACCCAAACCTTGGTCAAGCCCCCAGTCTCATACCCAGTTCCTCCAGCTCCTCTACTTCCCCTGGCTTTCTGGGTCTTCAATGCCGACCGACCCCCAAAATCAAACTCCCTTTAGTCCCCCAACTTCCGAGAAGTCAGGCACCGCGGTCCCAAGTGGCCCCTCTCTCGTGGCTCGCGTATCCTCTCTGCCCTTCCCCGCCGGGGCCACGCGGTTCCCCACGGCCCACGTGGCCCCCGCCCCCCAAGGGAGGGGGGGATTTCGGGGGTTGCCCGTGACGTGGCTACTTGCGCAGCGGAAGCGGTGTGTGTAAATGTACGGGGCCGGGGGGGGGGGGGGGTCCGGGGGGAGGGAGGAGGGCGGGGCCCGACAGGCAGTGACATCACCCTTGTCCCACTCTCACCGCCCACTCCCTTAAAGAACCCAGAACCCGTTTCACTTCCTCCTTCACGCCCCCCCCAACCCTTTGCAACGGCGCCGGCTGGACCCCCGACTGGCACTACGCTCCCCTCTCCTGGACACCTTCCCATTAGCCCCAGTTCTTCCTTCTCGCCTCTCTGGAGCTGAGTCTCCGCGCCTACCCGGCGTCCCCGCAGGTAGGGAGCCGGCTTCGCTCCCGGGATCGGTCCATTGAGAGTCTAGAGTACAAAGAGCAGCGAGAGGCGAGTGTCGAGTACAAAGCGGCGGGGGCGGGGCCAGCGCTCCAGCTGGAGCGAGCGCCGGGCAGGAAGCCGGGGGAGAGTGCGCGACGAGGGGCTGGGGGCGGCTGGAAAGTTCGCCTTTGCTGAGAGAAGTCTGCGCTGTGGGGAAATTTCCACCCAGCCCACAGGGGCAGACGGGTTTCTGGCGAAAAGAGCCTTCCTTCCCCCAGGAGCAAGGTCGTTTGTTTGCATGGAAGCGCTTGGACCCTATAGGGCCCTGCGTGCGACTCTCCGCCGAACCCTGGTGGGCGCTTGGGCCACGCGGACCCTCTCCGCGATTGACGTGGAGTTACTGTCAGAACCCTCTCCTTACCAAAGGCAGCAGCCTTTCTGTCAGTAACCAAGTCCGGTACAGCGCTGAACTGGGGTCAAGTAGAGCCCTGGCTGACTGCCCCCACCCGAGTACCAAGGCAGAGGCGGGGAGGAGACCCAGGGACCAGACGTGGACGGGGAGCCGGGGGAACCAGACAACAGAGGGGCAGATCCCTGCTTGGGAAGTGGTCCCGAGAGCGCTGCCAGTTACCAGGAAACGCAGCTTCCCCTTCTGCGATGATGACACTTCCCCTCTGCCACTTCCCCTTTCCCACGGGGAACTGACTCAGCTTTCCCTAAGCGAGTGAGTGCGGTCCCTCCAGCCCCCTGTTCTTCCACCTTTATCCACAAAGCCGGCACCCAAGAATACAAAGCCCTCACTTGGAGACAAAACTTCCTGTACACTAAACACACACTCATTCTCACCAGCCCCCTCGGATCCTTGTCCGAACCCGGGACACAGGCGCTTGACTCTCGCCCCCCGTTCAGAGCCCTCCCTCGGGGTCTGATTCAGGCTTGGGGTGAGGGAGCGTGAGTCACCCAGAAAACCTTCCCCTCTTCCCACTGACTCAGCCCCCGCCTCCCTGAACACACACAGACACACAGTCAGAGGCAGACACAACTCCTCAGCCCACACACCGGCTCACCACCGGTCCCGCGGAATTTCCCCTCTCGTCTTCCCCCACGATGCCCCCCCCCCCTGCGCCGGGCAGCCCCAACGCGGCGTTCGCACCTGTTCCCCAGCCGCCACTGGCTCGCGCTCCACTCTCACCTCCACTCTCGCTGTGGGGCAAGAATAGCCCTCCTGACTCCCGGTGTCCTAGTATACTAACCAAGGGGAGGGGACCACCAACAGCCACAAAGACTGAAACCCACAGACTCCTCCAAGACAGGCGAGAGCTAATCGCACGCGGTCAGAGCCAGGCTGCGAGGTCTATTATACTTCTGGGGCAGACATTCCAGCTTCTTCCGACCCTACCCACAACCTCGGGAGCCAGCCGCTCTGAAAGGGTTAATTCCGCTCCCGCCGAGGCCACGCCCTCCCCATCCGGGCACTCCCGGCAAAGCACAGCTCCGCCCCCTCCATCCGGGCCCTGGACTCGGGACTTTAACCGACCCCCCAGCACCCGCGGGAGCCCCAAGAGAGAACCACTCCATCAATCACACCCATTTAACTCTCTCTGGGCTTGAGCCGACGAACCCCTCTGCGCAGCGCCGGAGCCGCGCGGGACGCGTGGTAAGAGGCCTGAAGTGCGCACGCAAACTCACGTGACGGCCAGAGATAAGAGCCCGCAGATAGGGTTTTACCGAGCAGGCAGTCAGCGGGCACGCAGCGTGCGCGCCGGTGTGGGGCGGTCCGGGACCCTCGTCGCAACCCGCTCCCTGCCTGTCCTCATCACTCCCGGTGGAAGCGAGGGGTTACAAGCTCGCTTCTTACCTGGGGGAGGGGGAGGCGGAGGGGAGGGCCGCCGGCTGAGGCTCCGCTGTGACTCAGCCACCCGGGCAGGCCGCCCGCCCGGGATTCCCTTCCCCAGCTTTTCCCCGGCTGCCGGCCCCTCCCCGCCCCCCACCAAGGAGTGACGGTGCCGGCCCCGGCCCGCTGTGTGTCACTGCAGGCCTTGTGTCTGCCTCTGACTGGGCGCTGTGTTCACCAGTCTGTCTGACACGGTCGGCTGTGCGTGGGTCCCGGTGTCTGTCTCCGTGTGCACCTGCATATCTGTTCATCTTGTCTCCCTCTGTGCCTGTGTCTGACGCGTTCCTGTCATTATCCCTGTCTACATGACTCCGCGGGGCTGTCTCTGTCTGTGTGTCTGCCTAGCTCCTGTCTCGGTCTTTTGTCTGGGTCTGCCTCTGCATCACTAGCGTGATCACGTGTGCCTCTGCACATGCCCTTCTGTGTTTGCCTTCATGTTACTGAACAGAGTCGGGGCGACACTGGAGCAGGCCCACCCTCCTGACTCCTGGCTACGCTCCTCACGTCTTGCTGGATCAGTGATCATTCTGTTTCGAATCAAGTATTTGGAGGTCCGTCCACCTTCAATCAAGTTCTGTCCCATCCCTTGACAGCCCTGTTTATTCTCACAGTTCCCTGTGGCTGCTACTGTGATGATAATTGCTAGCATTTCGTGAATATTTATTACATTCCAGGCACTGCATTAAGCATTTTACAAGCATTTTTCTTTTCACCCTTCCCCAAAACCTGACACAGAAGGTACTTTGATTACCCAATTTTACAGATAAGGAAATTGAGACCCAGAGAGGCTAGGTGACTTGGCCAAATCATTCTGCAAGTGAAGAATGAAAGCTAGGCTTCTTTCCTGAGCCACATTCTTACCACTCTTCTGTATTGGCTCTGTCCTACTCTCCCTCTTTTAGTTTTATCCTCACAGACCATCTCCTGGTCAGCCTTCCTCTCAGCTCTACCCATGTTACCCTCCTCATGTTCTCTAGAGAAGAAGGTAGGAGGCTGTGCAGCAGATCTCAGAAATCATAGGTTCTTGGTAATGAAGCTCATTCAGTTAACATTATTCAACACAAATCCACCACGCACCCAATGTGCAAAACATCATGCAAAATAGCGAGATACATAGAAGAAAACAGTTCCACTCAAGAAGCCCAATATGTAATGGGGAAGAACAACACACAGAAAACTTAAGCCCCTGACTTAGGGATTATCTTCCATTTTCTCCAACAAAGGAATGGGAAATAAAGCAGGGCTTCAGGCAGAGAACTGAGAGGAGAGACGTAAGCAGAAGAGGTTAAGACATAGGTATGGGGGCAAATGCTATAGTGCAGTGGGAAGAGAATGGGACCTAAAGAGATCTGGAAGGAAAGGTGAAATGCCAAGATTGCTGTGGCTGGTGGTGATCTCCAGTATCTCCCCAAATCAATTTCTGAACACCCTCCAAAAGCCAGGGTGTTCAACAACTCTTATAGAGGCAAAGCCCTTCTCCTCCCAAGAAAAAATTCCTCCAGGGTAACTCATATCCCACTTTCAGCTTGCAAACTCCATTTTCATTCAATAAGCAACTGAGTTGTAGCACTGGGGAGATAGTGGGGAGAAGATTTTTTGGTAGTAGTGGAGAGGCTGGTGAAGTATAGGGCTGAACCATTTATAGGAGATAGAAGGGAGGTCCATAAACCAGGAGGGCTGAACCACTCAAGCACAACATGGTGAGGTGCTCAGAATTGGACTAGACCATTCTGAAGAGTGGGCATGATCCAGATCATACCAAGCAACTCCAACCATGTGATACAGTTAGACTGCTGGGGAGAGAGGGTCACTCAGACAGGACTTACCAGATGGAGTTTGGTGTGCCCTGTCTCATTGGAACCAGCACCCCAGCAGTGGGGTACAACAGACCACGGTGGGTGGGGTGGGTAGTGCTACGGGGCTGGCATGTTGCCCTGGGGGGAACCTAAAAGAAAAAAGTCAATTAGAGGTGGGGTCTCCCAGGCTGGAGAATTTCCCTGGGCTTCCTGCCCCCTCAGTAAGGAGAAACCTGGCTCTGGTGGTCAGATAGGATAGGAGAATCTGTTTCCGTGGCAACCAGAAAAAGCCATCCCCAAACTGGTCATCCAACCTTCCCCTTCGGGAAGCAGGCTGGTATGGCCTGTGAGTAAGTCTACAGCAGATACCCAACCCCTGATCCCTCTTCTGACAGGACCCTCCTGCTGAGACTCCCTGGCCCCAGAGTTACCCCAGCTGCCCTATCATCTATACCCAAGCCAGCCTGAGTTCTAGCACCAGGACATGCAGACCTGCTTCCTTCAGCTCTGTATCCTCTCCAACGTTATCAAGACAGGAGACAGTCAACCCCACCCTCTGGACTCTGCCCCCTCCTGTTCCCCTAGGCGGGTGCAGGCAGGTCTTGGCTAGCAGCACAGGTAGCCAGACTAGATGAACGGGACCAACAGGGAGGGGCCATCCTCCCCTGCAAGAACTATGACTCTGGGCCTGAGCCTGGAAGTAGCCTCTGCTGCAAGCCTCCCCTCCCTGCCACCGCCAAGGCAATATCCTGTTTCCCCATCACCTCCTTCCTCTTATGTGGCCTAAGAAGGTGATAGAGGCCCGCTCCCTTCCCAACCCTCAGAGACAAGAAGCTAGGTCTTTTAGTGTAAGTCCAAGGCCAAGAATCAGGTGTCCATCCAGGGGTCAGAGTTAAGTGGCCCCTCACCTCAGACTCGCTCCTCAGGAACCTGTTTTCTGCTCCCTTAGTCATAGTTCTCTGCCCTTATGGACCCTAACACTTGGGCTCCTAATCTAATCTCTATATTCCTTGGCCCTCCAGCCCCCATCCTTCCCCCTGCCCCAGAGACTCAGGCCTCTAGCCCCCAGTCTCCATGATGCAATGTTCTGCAAGCTTCTGTGGCTGCTGATGACACTGCCCCCAGGGAGGTGCTATTTCTGACCCACCAAGGTCCCCTCCCTGGGCCAGGGTAGTGGTCAGCTGTAGGTGGGTGAGGTCAGGCAGGCCAGGCCCTTCCTCTGGGGAAGGGAACTTGAGGTTGGAACTCTCCAGGACAGGGAGGCTCACAACCTGGGAGCAGGGAGTATCTATAGTCTAGCATCTGTGTTTTGTGGTTGTGCTAGGGGAAGGGACTTGGGAAGGGCTAGCCTAGTGGGCCGACGTTAGGACAGGCCAAGGGGGTCAGAGGCGTGTGTGAGGGGTGTCTGGACAACAGAGTGGGGGAGGGGCTAACAGCCATTTAAAGGGCCAGCCCCAGAGCTTTAATCACTCACCAGCCTTGGCCCCAAGCCGGAGGCTGTAATTCATCTGTCCAACAGCTGGGGTGTGTGTGTTTGTGTGTGTGTGTGTGTGTGTGTGTGTGTGTGTGTATGTGTGAGGGGGGCATGTGGACGGGAAGGGGGAGCTGGGTTGGGGGAGGGGCTGGGGCTTTCTTGTGCACAGAGCCAAACAACAAAAGGGGAAGCTTAAGTGCCAGCTCCAAAGTGCCCAGGCCAGGCCACTGACCTGCAGACCAGCTGGTGGTCCCCCACCTGGTGGCCGACAGGCTCCATAGTTTGGACTCAAGGATTCTTGGCCAAGGAGTCATGTACCCAAAGGTGGGGCCCTGGAGAAAGCCCAGGCTGTGTACCCCCCAGGCAGGCTGTCACCCCTCCTTGCACCTTCCCAGCCGCAGCACTGTCCCAGACCTGGCAGGCCCCGCAACAGACTCAGCCTTAAATGCCCTGCTCACCAGCCAAGCCTCCCCAGACATGGCTTGCCGGCTCCCCCTCCCGCCAGCACAGGGTGGCAGCGGCCACACCGAGGCTGTCCCTTTAAATCATTACCACCCCTGATTGTGTGGACGAACCAAGGGCCCTGCCCCCCAGGCAGGCGGCTTGCCACCTCCCCCCCCCCAAGTCCCCAGAAATGTGAGGGCCATTTAAAGGGACAACAGAGAGGGAGCCAGGTCTCTAACTGCCCCCCCACCCCCACCCTACACACATAGCCCCTTGCCCCTCCAGGGGGCCCCCTAAATTCCGGTTATCTCCCCACCCCTAGAGACTGCTAGAAGGAGAAAAGGGGCCAGAGCTGGGGGGGCGGGGAACTGGGGGGGAGCAAGAAAAGGCAGGGACTCCCTCCGCCCCCAGGGGACAGATCGGAAGGAAAGCAAGAGCCCAAAGAAGCAGCCAGACAGAGCCCCCAAAAGGTGCCTTGGGCAGACCTAGGGCACACAGGCTGTTGGGTGAAGAGAAGGGAATCAGGCTGCACGAGACGCCGGCGCGGCCAGCGGGCGACAAGCCCAAGTGGGGGCGATGGAAAACGGAAGGCCAGGGAAAAGAGGCAAGGCCAGGGGGAAAATGGGGAGACGGAAGGGGAAAAGGGGTCATCCGGGAGGGTGTGGAGGAAAATCAGAGAGGGGAGGGCGAGCCAGGCCGGGGTTACCTGCTGGGTGTCTGTCCCCCGGCGGTGCCCCCGGAGTCCGGGTAGGGAGGGGGGGAAGCAGCAGGGGGGGGGGAGTGGGGGCTGGGGGGGCGGGGGAGACGGTCCCTCCTCTGCCTCCTGGGCCTGCCCCGGCGCTTGCAGCCTCTGCCTCCCTCCCTCCTCCTCCCCGTCCCTGAGTCCCGGAGTCAAACAAAGAACTGTAGCAGGCTCTCCCCAACCCCCTCCCTCCTCCTCCTCCTCCTCCTCCACCTCCTCCTCCCCTCCCTCCCTCCCCACCAGCAGGCTCCCTCCTCCTCCCTTCCGGTCTCTTCCTTTAACTACCCGCCCCCCTCCAGCCCCCAGCACTAGTCTCTCTCCACCCACCCACCCCAACCTTTTACACACCCCTAAGCCTAGCCTTGTCCCCACTAGAGAAACTGTGGAGTCCCTCTGCAAAATGAAAGGCTCCAGAGAACAACATGGGAGGGGACTGGGGTCTTGCTTCAAAATCAAGAACCACAATACAATTATTTTATTTTCAAGGCCCACGGAATAGTCTTAGCTATTTCTTCTCCAAGAGGGGAAAAAATAATCCTAAAGAAAGCAATACAAATCTGCCTAAAGCCTTCATCAAATAAAACGCACAAAGCAGTTAAAGCTAATCCCCAGCCCCCTAACCCAAATCTCCAAATTAACACAAACTATTCACTCCCCCCTAACAAACTCCTAGGGTCACTGCTGGTTTGGAGCAGGCTCACAGGAATAATAATAAACTAATAACACCATTTAACAATAAAAGTATTTCATAACAACAAGCACTCATTCTGTGTTCATTCTGTGCCAGGCACTGTGCTAAGTGACTTGCATAAATTATCTCATTTTTTTCCTGGCAGCGGCCTTCAAGGTAGGTATTGATATTTAAATGTTCAAGATTAAAAATGCAAGGCTCAGAGAGGTTGTGACCTTTCCAAGTTCCAGTAGCCACTAAGTGACAGAGCTGGAATTAGAATACAGGTCTGATCTGACAGCCCAAGCTCTAAGGTCCATAAAAGTACAAGCTGATTTATTCCAAGACCATCTCCAACCCCAGAACTTAGTAGAGAAGAGCAGCCAGAGCAAGCAACCGAGTCCCCCTCCACCTAGTGAGAGGCTACAGACCGATTCACCGGCATACACACAATAAAGACCCTGACTTTCCAGCCTAATACTGTTTCTTGGCCCTTTTCCTTTCATTGTTTGTAGATAGGGGTGTGCCATTAAGGGGACGTTAGGGATAAGCCGGTGTGTAGTGAACCCCCATACTACACACAGCTCTTCTGTCTTGCAACCACTCCCACTTCAAATTAATCTGGGTAAGGGGGCAATAGGACACTTGGCCATGCAGCAGGTGGGAAAGTAAAAAGACTGCTAGGTAGCTCTTTCTATGGGGGCGGAGGCTTGGAGGAGAAGCTCTTCTGTGCCAATCTAGGGAAAAGTGACCCAAGGCTCCCTCAGCCCAAGCAAAGGGGCAAAGTCTTTCAGCCACACCACACCCGTGCCCCTCCCCCTCACAAAATTCCAGGCCGGGGTTTCCCACCTGCAGGATGCTAAGACCAAGGGAAGGGAGAGGGGAAAGAGATGGCACGGGACTGGAACTGGACTCGGGGCAGAGGTGGGAGGGAATAGAAGGGGGAGGAAGCCTCATTGCCTGGCAACCGTCCCAGGGCACGTGCACTGGTGACATCATCCCAGGCCACCTCTAATACAGACCTTTGACCCCTATGGGGCGGAGGGGGTGCGCTAAGCTTCCTGGAAACACCCTTAGGAATTCTGGGAATCCAAAAAGGAGACGTAGGAAGGAACCCAGGCGTCCTTATCTCTTTTACCCCATACGACTCCAATCTCAGGGACTCAGGCCTCTTGCCTGCCTCCTCTTCTCCACCTGCAGCCCTGACCTCCCAACCCACATTTCTGACGGGAGTCAGCCCGACACGCCCCTCGGAGATACTGTGCCTTCTCTCTCTCGGGCAAGACCTCGGTGGGGGCCGGCAGGCGGGGACGGGGGCACCGGGTCCCGCGGGGCTCCGTCTTCCATCTGTAGGATCCCCCGTGCCCCAGCCGGCCGCCAGCCGGAATCTGTCTGGGTCCCCAACTCTCCCGCCCCTCCCCGCGCTGTTCCAGGGCGGAGTCTGTGGAGTTGAAACCAGGACACGGCAAGAGGAAGAGTTATATAACCGGGAGAAGCGAAGAAGGACGAGTGGAGACAGGGAGAGACAGCCCGAAAGGAGCCGAGGGAGGTGCAAAGAACGCCGGAGCGAATGAGAAGGAAACATTAGGAATGGGAAGGGTTTTGGTGCACATCAAAGAGCAGGAATTCACGCGAAGAAGGGGCGTGATGGCCCAGAAGAGTCACCTGGGCCGTCCGGGGCTTCCCCGCAGTGCCCTCCCCCGCCACCAACAGCAGCTGGGCCCGGGAGGGAGAAGCCTCGGGAAGGGGCGCTGGTACCCGCTCGCTTTCTCTTGGGGAAGCAACGTAAGCCAGAGCCCGGGAAGGCAGCGGCCGAGCAGATGGGGCCGGAAACCACAGCTCCGCCCAGCCCACCTGGGAGTGTGGGGCGCCAGCTGGGGGTAGGTGGGGAACAGGTAGTCGGCCCTCCTGAGCGAGGCTGGGCATTATGGTCACGACCCGCTAAACGGTGCAGACCGACCGAGACGTGGGAGTCCCCAGGGGCTGAGGAGCGCAGCCTCGGGCGGCTTTACACGGACTCCACACTGGGAAAGGGGCGCCCGGCTCGCCGCGCAGGCGCAAGGGGGTGCTCGGGCGCGTGCGGCCCAGGGCTGGGGGGTGGGCGCGAGCGTGTGGGAGTGCACGTGCGGGTCCCGGGCAGCTGCCGCCTCCCAGCCTCCGCCGCTGCCCCTCCCCTCTCCCTTTCCCGTCGCTATCATGACCCTTCCCCATTGGCTGTCAGGGCCCTGACGTTAGGGCCAACCGCTGGAGCGGATTGGGTGGACGGGAGAGTTTGGGAATCCGGCTCGCAAGTCTCGCCCTCCAGTTACTCTGGCAACTGGGCAAGCCACCCCGGGGAGAGAAGGGGAGCTGAGGTGAACGCCGCGCCTCAGGTGCCCCCTCCCGGACAATCGCCGAATCCCCTCCGGTCGCGGCGCAGCTCGCTGCCTCCCCGCCTTCCTCCCAGGGCTCTTCCCGTCTCGGGAACCAGGCGTCCTGCCCTCGACCTTCCCCACAGTCTCCAGGGCCACCGCTCTCTTCAACCTCCACCCAGCGTCACAGCCATAAGCTACAGCAAACGGGAAGCGAATCTACGTCGCTTAGCAACAATCCCGCGTGTCCCCCCCGCAATTTACCCGGGCCCGGAGAGGTGGAGACTGAGTCCCCAGAGTCCTCTCTCCGTCTTCTGCCCTGCCACCTCCAGCCCACAATTTCCTGTGAAGGGGCCCAGATGACAGGAAGTCAAATGGGGGCTTCAGCCTACTTTTCCCTCGGACCGGGACGGGGGGCTTCAGCTATCTTCACGGTCACGTCCCGCACCTGCAGTCCCCGCCGCCCTGGGTGCGCGTCTCGCCCTCGCCATCTCGTGGCTGCTCTGGGAAGATTCCGCACGGAGAAGCTGTGCGGGGCCCGCGAGGGCTCGGGAACGGCAGAGTGGGGGCAGGACCAGGGATGAGACTAGCGGGGAGAGGCGTAGTGAAGGCAGGATGCAGTGGGGAGAGTGGGATGGAGGCGAAGGCTACTGCTGGGAGGCTCTCGGGACCGCTGGTGGGAAGGTCAGACTGAGGTTTCTACACCTCACCCATGCAGAGAACTGGAGGGAGACTTAAAGTAGCCCTGGGACCGGGACACACCCCAGTCTGACCACATCTGACCTCAATAGGTCAGGGCAGTGGCTTGTCTGCGAACTCTGCCCTTTAGTCCTGCCTTTCAGTGAGGACCACCGCACCCCGCCCAGGAGTCGAGAAGAGGAATTGCAGCCCAAGGGGAACTGGAGTCCTTTCAGGCCTCTCTGGACATCCGGAACCTGACATATCTGCCTCCCAGGTCTTCCTCCTTCCTCGCCGTACTCTCTTCTAGGGGACCCATGACCTTCGCCCCAGTCTTCTTCCCAGTGCCCTTCCCAAGACCCAAACGTCCATCCCCAGCTCTACCCCTCCAGACTTAGGCGTCCTGACCCCTGCACACAGAGTTTCCCTCTTTCCAGATGTCCTCGCAGCTCCCCGTTACCTGGTTCTGGGGGGTCCCAGGTGTTCAGGCTCCGCAAGGTCTCCCAGGGGGTCGAGCGGCCCCCCCTTCTCCCAGGCCGGGGCTGGGGGGGCCGCTCCGCCCAGTGGCGCAGTTGGATTTTCCAACACAAACACCCGCACCCCCGCTCCCCAGCCCCGCCCCCTTCTCGTGGTCCCGCCCCTCCTCACGCTCAAGTCCCCCTCTTCGGCTCCGCCCCATCTTCTGCTGGTCCCGTTCGCCTGAGCGCTGGTGTCGGCTAGGATGCCGGATGCGGGGTGCAAGCTTCAGGGTGCAGTGTACAGGGTTCAGCCCTGATCCCTGCCTGACAAATCGCTATCCCATTTGGATCACGCGCCGTTCAAAGGTAAGCCCCGCCCCACCCACTCAAGTCCTGCCCCGAGACTTAGCGACAGCCTCCTCACACCCCCTCCGCCCTGCCCATTCGTTCAAGGCCACGCCTACGTTCCTCTCCAGGCCGCCCCACCTCCTTAGCTGCTTCGTGCAGTAGCAGCTTCACTGTAGCTCTGTCCTCTGTGAAGCCCGGGCTTCCTCCCTCCCCAGGCCCTCACCATTGCATTGAGAGACGTAAGGCTTGATGTCGCGGGTGTTTTACAGCACGGAGCTCCAATACAACGCTTTCACTTTTATGGCTAGCACAACTAGGTATCTCCAGGGCTACATCACACAAATTCGACCAAGGTCAAAGTCTGAGGTCAGTCCAGCCTCAGTCCTAGGTGCAATATCTGTCTTAGCTCCTGGAGTCCCCGACCCTCTGTCAAGTGGAGAAGACAAGGAGGTCTCAGCTGTCCAGGCTCATGAGTAGAGCAGTGCCCCTCTTGATCCAATGATCAGACGTCATAGCCCCAGACCGCAGGTCGATGCCAATGACAAAGGAGGCTCGGTCTGAGCTGCCTGCCCGGTTGGGATAGTAATAACAGGGACAGGAGTACATGCCTGGGGGAAAGGAGAGGAGGAGTCAGACTCCTGGAGCCTCCGGGAGAGCAGGGCAGGGGCAGGTGTGGGATGGGCTGGAGCAGAGGATGGGTTAGGTTCCAAACTAGGGATGGGGCAGGCAAGTCTTGGGGAGCTGTCCCACCCTTGGCGCTCTTCTTGCGACTCTCTGCAGGCCGGAAGTGGATCGTAGGCATGAGGCAGACAAGCTGCATGGGCTCTGCCTCCACCAAGCAGGAGTTCTTCCGGTCCCAGCCAGCACCTTCCAGGTACAGGCCCCGAACCCAGACACCATCCTGGGGAAAAGTGGGAGCAGGTCTGGGAGAAGCTAGACTTCAGTTGCCAGCACCCCTGACCTGCTACCTCTCTCCTCCCTTCTCATCCAATTATTTCCCATTTTTGTTCCCAGTACCCTCTTTTGCTCAGATCCCCAAGCACAACTGGCTCCCACCTTGGGTGGATACACTAGGTTGCTGTCATCCACAGTGGAGACGATAAACTCCCAGGAGAGGCTGTCCACTGAAATCTGCGGGTTGAAGGTGAGAATAAGGGAAGACCCTGAAGAGGAGAACAAACGCACGGCCACAGCATACATACTGCTCTCACTGCACATTGCTCACGTTGTTTTGGCGAGCGGAAGACTGCAGCACAGCAGTGAGGAAGCCAGTGGGAAAGGTGAAACCAGACAGCCAGAAGATGACAGGAGGCCGGGCCCGGCTGGCCCACAGCTCAAACTGCTCCACACGCATGGCCAAGTCCCGTGTCCAAGCAGCCAATGGCTTTTGTGAGGGGTATGCCTAGGGAAGGAGTGCATGCTTATTCTCTCATTTAGCCATGCATTCAAATCCTTATTTTTTGTTTTTTTATTTTTTAGATGGAATTTCGCTTTTGTTGTCCAGGCTGTAGTGCAACAGTGTGATCCCAGCTTACCAAAACCTCCGCCTCCTGGGTTCAAAAAATTCTCCTGCCTCAGCCTCCCTAGTAGCTGGGATTATAGGCGCTCACCACCACACATGGCTAATTTTTGTATTTATTTAGTAGAGACGGGGTTTTGCCATGTTGGCTAGGCTGGTCTCGAATTCCTGAACTCAGGTGATCCACCCGCCTTAGCCTCCCAAAGTGGTGGGATTACAGGTGTGAGCCACCGCGCCCAGCCCAAATCCTTATTTTTGAGCACTGAAGCAGATATGAGAAGACTGTGTGGTATCGGCCCCTGTTCCCCAACTACAGGTGAGCACAGCTCTCCAAAGCCAACTTCCAGGAAAGAGGCATACGACAACTATTCATTAATAACAATGACCACAGTAATATTAACCAGGTACCATTAATGATGCACCTTCTCAGTGGTATGCACAGTACTGGGAATCTTTGAAACATCCTTGGAGAGGTTAGTAACTTGCCCTGAGTAAGTCTGTAAGTTAATAAGTTGTACAAAGTCAGTCAGTGAATGGCAGAGCCAGGTTTCAACCTTGAACCTGTCTAACTTCAAAGTTTAGGCTCTTTACAGTTTGTTGTATGCCAATCTAGAACCAGGAGATTGGGGAGCACAGGGTTGAGAGGGGAGCTCATTGTTGGAGAAGGATTAACAATGGTATCATCTTGCCTTTCCCCAGAGTGGAGGAACGTGGGCATCAAAGATGCAATTGAAAATCTCTTCCAGGCTTGTAGACATGACAATGAGGCCCTGGATGCCTTTCTCTAGGTCTGTCAGTGAGAACCTGAGCAGGATGAGGTGGAGCGTTAGAGATGGAGTGGGCCTGGTAACGTCATTCTAGCCAGAAGGTGCTGGCCTCTCCCCACCCCTTCCTATGTTCCGTAGAGTCCCTCTCCATCTTACAGGATGGTCTGCATCAGCTTGTTGTATCTTTGGATCTCCTGCAGAAGGACCACATTGAGGGGGGAGGGGTCAAGAGCTAGCAGTTTTCGGGTCCCCTCATAGTCGATCATTTCAGGGATCTTCTGCTTCACATCAGCAGCCAACTCAAGGACCTGGGCAGGCAGGAGCTCTGAATGTAGCCCTGACTTCTGGAATTCTTCAGGAATCAGTCCTGCCCTGATTCCCTCCCCAAGGCCTGGCTCATTTTACCTTCTCTTCCCGTGTCTGGCCTCCAGCCCTGATGGGTGTAATCTGAGGTTGCAAGGAAAGCAAAGTATCAAAGAGGGTTCGTGCCTCAGTGATCTGGGAGGCCACATCAGCATTGGGGTGCTGGCCAAAGGCCTCAGGGGGGTCCATGCCAGGCAATAAGCTGATGTATTCCTTGTAAGAGGCCAGGCTCCCATCCTTGGGGATGAAATAAGTCTCTAGTGCTGACAACCTGGAAAGTCATAGCATAATCACTGCCACATTGTGGGGACTCAGGCCTCAATGCCAGGCCAAGACCCCAAGCCTATGCATGTCACATTTGTCCAACTCCCTGCCCTGTACCCTTTCCCAATCCCATAAACTCTGTCATCTCCCAATCTCATGTCCTCTCCTCAAACATTTCCTCCACCCCTGATCCCACCACCTGGCTGGCTTGTGACTTCTGGCTCCCTGCCCAGTGCCACCTCCCCTCACCGGTAGAAGGGAGTTGATAAAGACTGGTCACAGAAATAGTCATTGATGTAGGTGGTCAGCAGGCGCCGGTCCCAGTCATCTGTGACATGTCCACCATAGTTGACGCCGGCAATGAGGTACTTGAGTGCATCCCAAGGTGTCTCCTCGTACTCATCCAGATAGAGGCTCAGCAAGTTCTCTGACACCTGGGCATAGTCCCAACCCAAGCCCCAATCCCCACACAGTTATGGCAGGAAATCTGCCAATGGAGCTTCAACACAGCCTTTCTGTCTGCGGATATTCCCACAGGGAAGACATGGGGTAGGAAGTGTAGGGAGAAAGGGCTGGGACGAGGACCCCTGGCTGTTACAAACCTCAAAGTCGGAGTCATTGAAGCCATAGATAATGTTCCAGCCAAGCTGCAGGAACTTTTTGCGTTCAAGTAATACAGAGTGGAAGAAACAAAGTGCAAACAACAGCTTCTTATATTTGGCAGGTTTGGAGCAGCGGGTAAACTGTGGTTCTGTCATCAGTTGGTAAAGACGTGTCATATTGGCCTTTAGGCCCTGGGGACAATAAAGTACAAAGATGGGGCTGACATGCATCATACTCAGATCTGCCACTAGCACCACCATATACAGTTGTGGCAGTTCTTCATGGCACAAAGCCACTGGCTAAAAGGGTGAGTGGAGGCTGAAATGTAGCCCTTGATCTACGTGCCAAGATATGCACTCCTCTACAAGGCTGGGTGCTTTTCTCTATCTAATTCGTAGACAGGCACTGTATGGGCTTGTGGCATGACTGACTTCTTGTCCCACCACTTTTGAATCTCTCAGCCCTGATGTTCTCAGTATTAGGTAGGCCAGCTCAATTTGGGGTTCGAGAAAATATGAACAAAGACAAATACGTATACATGCAATTAACAAAAATGTACAGAATTGTATGCAAAGGTTAGTGTAGATTTAAAAGGCCATACTATATCTTCAAGGAGGAACAATCTATGTGATTGGCATTATTTGGCTCCATGAGCAAGCTGGGATTTGAACTAAGCCTTCCAAATGGGAAGGGTATGACTAGGCCTGAGAGGAGAGTCTTCCTTTCCTGGAGATGGAAGGAATTGAATAAAGGCACGGAGGAGAGAATAAAGTGAGAGGATGAGCCTGGCTGAAGTCAAATGCAAGTGCTCAGGTGGGAAGAGGAAGGCCATGGATAGATGGAGATGCAATAAGAATGGACGCTTAAGCCATTTGTACTTGATTCACCAGGCTTCATGGAGTCACTCTATCTTGAGTAGGACAGCAATCTGTTCAAACAGCATTTTAAGAAGACTTATCTGTGACTGACAGAATGGAATAGTGAGAAACTTGAGGAATACTGGATAGCAGTAACAAAATACGTGACTCTTTAAAAAATGCCATTTACCAGATGTGGTGGCTCATGCCTATAATCCCAGCACTTTGGGAGGCCAACGCGGGTGGATCACTTGAGGCCAGGAGTTCAAGACCAGCCTGGCCAACATGGCGAAAGCCCATCTCTACTAAAAATACAAAAAAAATTAGCTAGGCATGGTGGCGGGCTCCTGTAATGCCAGCTACTCAGGAGACTGAGGCAGGAGAATCGCTTGAATCCAGGAGGCGGAGATTGCAGAGAGCCAAGATTGAGCCATTGCACTCCAGCCTGGGTAACAAGAGCGAAACTCCATCTCAAAAAAAAAGAAAAAAAAAATGCCATTTGTGACATCAAGATATGTCAAGTACCTAGAAATAAATCCAATTAAAATGTATGATTATTTATGGAGAAAATTACAATATTTTAGGCCAGGCATGGTGGCTCACACCTGTAATCTCAGCACTTTGGGAGGCCAAGATGGGAGGATTCCTTGAGCTCAGGAGTTCGAGACCAACCTGGGAAACATAGCAAGATTCCATCTCTATAAAAACAACAGCAACAACAACAAAATCACATTACACAACTTTAGTAAAATAAAGAATAAATGGAGGCTGGGCACAGGGGCTCATGCCACCTGCGATCCCATTGTGCTATGATTGCACCACTGCACTCCAACCTGGGTGATAGAGCAAGACTCTTTCTCTCTCTAAAAAAAAGAGGAAAAAAATGATTCAATGGAGAAATATACTTACAGATTGGGAGCTTCATTGTCCTAAAGGTATCAATTTCTCCCATATTAATCAATAGAATTTTTTATACAACAAGCTAATTCTAAAATTTATATTGGCGAATAAAAGGTCAAGAATAGCCTGAAGAAGAATAAGGTAAGGGGATTGCCTTGTCAGCTATCCAGAATTATTATAAAGCTATATAGTAATTAAGACTAAAGTATATTGTTGGCCCAGCACTGGGTTACACCTGTAATCCCAGCAATTTAGGAGGCCAAAATTGGAGGACAAATTGAGTCCAGGAGTCCAAGACCAGCCTAGCCAACATGGTAAAACCCAATTTCTACAAAAAAAAAAAAAAAAAAAAAAAAAAAAAAAAAAAAAAAATTAGCCAGGGTTGTGGCACACACCTGTAAGGTGCAGGGGGGAGAACTGCTAGAGCCCGAGAGGCAGAGGTTGCAGTGAGCCACGATCGTGCCACTGTACTCCAGCCTAGGCCACAGAGCAAGACTCCGTCTCAAACCAACAAACAAAAAAAGGACTAAAGCATTTACTCCAGGATAAAACAATTTGACCAATGAACAGAATAAAGGACACTGAAAAACCCATACATATATGGAAACATGATTGAAGGCTGAGCAGGCACTACAGATCAGAAAGGTACTTGCATATTATTTGATAAGTGGTACTGGGAGAATTGGTTATCAATGTAGAAAAAAATTAAATTGGCTGGGTGCAGTGGGTGATGCCTGTAATTCCAACACTTAGGGAGGTTGAGGTTGGTAGATCACCTGAGGTCAGGAGTTCAAGACCAGCCTGGTCAGCGTCTCTACAAAAAATAACAAAACCCCATCTCTACAAAAAATAACAAAATTAGCCAGGTGGGGTGGCAGGTTCCTGTAATGTCAGCTACTCAGGAGACTGAGGCAGGAGAATCGCTTGAAACCCAGGAGATGGAGGTTGCAGTGAGAGTCAAGATCATGCTACTGCACTCCAGCCTGGAGTGCACTCCAGCGAGACTCTGTCTCAAAAAAAAAAAAAAAAAAAAAAAAAAAAGAAAGAAAGAAAGAAAAGAAAAAAACAAAAGAAAATTGGACCTCTGCCTCATACCACAGTCACAAAAATCAATTCCAAGTGATTAAAAACTTAAATGTAGGCTGGGTGAGGTGGCTCATGCCTGTAATCCCAGCACTTTGGCAGGCCAAGGTGGGCGGATCAAGTCGGGAGTTCAAGACCAGCCTGGCCAATATGGTGAAACCCTGCCTCTACTAAAAATACAAAAATTAGCTGGGCGTGTTGGCACAGTTGTAGTCCCAGTTACCCGGGAGGTTGAAGCAGGAGAATCGCTTGAACCCAGGCGCAGAAGTTGCAGTGAGCCAAGATCACGCCACTGCACTCCAGCCTGGGCGGCAGAGCGATACTCCATCTGGAAAAAAAATAAAAGTAATTAAAAACCTAAATATGAAAGTCAAATTACATTTTGGAAGGCAAGTATAGGAGAGTACTTTTACAATCTTAAAGTAAGCAAGGACTTCTTGAACAAGACAAAGGAGCACAAACCATTTAAAAAAGGAAAGATTTATATCTTTCCTGAAGCTAAATTCAACCTCATAAAAATTAAGAATTTATCTTCACAAAAAAATAGCATAAAAGAGATAAACCACAAAACACATAACTGACGAAGGATTAGGATCTGGAATATATGAAGAACTACAAAACTTGAAGAACATCAGGAATGAATGTCAAGTACATAATGTTAAATGAAAAAAGCAAGTTATAGAGAAACGTAAATAACAATGTTTGCATTAGCAATACAAACTTTTGCATTACAATGATCAAAAATCCCTAACTCCAGGGGAAAAGAAAAAAATTATAAAAGAAAATGACAAATGCAAGATTCAGAATAGTGATTTCCTCTGAGTGGAGAGGGAAAGTGATAAGATTGGGAAGAGGCACACCAGGACTTCAAAGAAAATGCTGGGATTTTTCTTTCTTGAAAGGATGATGCACACCCAGATATTCATGGAATCATGATCCTTTATAACTTGATTGTATTTTATAAATATTCTTTTGTATCTACTTAATATCTAGCTTTTTAAAAAGACTGGAGAGCAGGAAGCGACCCAGGAATATACTCCAGGACTATACCCCAAACTGGCAACTGGGGGCTGTGAATACAGGGACTTTCTTATTTGAAGTAAAACTCAGGCCAGGCATGGTGGCTCAGCACTTTGGGAAGACAAGGTGGGTGTATCACAGGAGTATGAGACCAGCCTGGCCAACAGGGTGAAACCCGGTCTCCACTAAAAGTACAAAAATTAGGGGCCGGGTACGGTGGCTCACACCTGTAATCCCAGCACTTTACACATTTACCTGTAATCCCAAGGCAGGCAGATCATGAGGTCAGGAGTTCGAGACCCTGGCCAGCATGGTGAAACCCTTTCTCTAGTAAAAATACAAAAAATTAGCCGGGCATGGTAGCATGCACCTGTAGTCCCAGCTACTCGGGAGGCTGAGGCATGAGAATTGCTTGAAGCCGATAGGGTGCAATGAGCCAAGATCATGCCACTGTACTACAGCCTGGGCGACAGAGCAAGACTCTAATCTCAAAAGAAAAAATTAATTAGCTGTGTGGAGTGGCATATGCCTGTAATCCCAGCTACTTGGGAGGCTGAGACAGGAGAACTGCTTGAACCCGGCAAATGGTGCCCAGGCTGGAGTGCAATAGCGTGATCTAGGCTCACTGCAGCCTCCACCTCTAGCTGGGATTCTCATATCTGAGCCCTATATATTACCTTCCTGACCTCAGGTGATCTACCCACTTCGGCCTCCCAAAATGCTGAGATTATAGGTGTGAACCACCGTGCCCAGCCTGAGCCACCATGCTCAACTGAGACTCTTTCTAAAAGATGATCCTATTTCTAAACACAGTCACATTCTGAGTCTTGGGGTTTGGAACAAAAAAGTATGAAAAGAGTGTGCCATTATGTTGTTGGTGTGCCAAGAAGTGCTTTGTAATCCAATGGCAATTCAGAGCTGGAACTGACTTTGGTACTGGTGCCAGAGATGGGATTAGAGTTGAAATCATGAAAAGGACAATTTCTTCAACAACTTGTGAAAGGAGAAAGTGTAGAATGAGAAACGCTGAGCCAGGACTGAAGGCCCTGCCCTCTTAGTCCTTAGGTCAAGGACTAAGTATTGAAATTTTGCCATAGGCAAAGAGGAAAAAGAAACAGAAGTAATAAATGATATGTCAAAAGATGGGGGGTGGGAAGCAGGAGTGGTGTGTCAGGGAGCCAGGAAAAGGGACAAGTCAACTGTGTCAACTGCCCCAAGGTGGTCAAGGAGGATTAAGAATGATGAAAGGCACTCATGCGTGATTCAAACAGCACTTATCTGTTGAGCATGATATATACTGGCCCATGTGCTTTTCACAGGGTGAGCAAAAAGGATTTTGATCTTGACTAAGAGCAATGAAAAGCTACTAAAATAGTTTAAACAGGGGTGAGTGGGTGAACTGCAATGACACGGCTGGTTTTAGAGGATCAGGATGATTGCATTTGGTGATGAACTTGTGATATTGGAGATAAAAATTTCAGTAGAGTTGGAAGAAAGAAAGGACAAAGAGGCAGGAAGTGTGACATTAGGAAGAGAATGTAAGGAGATGCTGGGAGGCAGGAAGGTTCCGAGGTATAAAAGAGTGACTTTGGGGACCCAACTACCCAAACTCTGGCTCTGGAATACTTATTTATTCTTTCTGTATCTCAGTGTCCTATCTTTAAAATGGGGGTAACAGTATTCATCTGATAGGGTGTGTGTGTACACCCATGCGTATTAAACCAGTTAATAAGTGTAAGGAACTTAGTGCCTGGCACATGATAATTACTCAAGAAATGTTAGATATTACTATTGTGTTCTAGGAGTTTGGCACAAACAGGAGAGGAATGAGGTGGATTTTTTTTTTTTTTTTTTTTTTTTTTGAGATGGAGTCTTGCTCTGTTGCCCAGGCTGGAGTGCAGTGGGGTGATCTCAGTTTGCCACAACCTTTGCCTCTCGGGTTCAAGCGGTTCTCCTCCCTCAGCCTCCCAAGTAACTGGGACTACAGGCACGCACCACCATGCCTGGCTAATTTTTGTATTTTTAGTAGAGACAGGGTTTCACTATGTTAGCTAGGCTGGTCTCAAACTCCTGACCTTGTGATCCACCCCCTCTCCAGCCTCCCAAAGTGCTGAGATTACAGGCATGAGCCACCACGTTTGGCTGAGGCAGAATTTTTTAGAGGACAATCAAATCAAAGCCATGTTGTTGTTGGGTTAAGCCTTCTCTCTGATGCTAGCAGGAGGTAAGGTGGACCAGATGGCCCTGCTGATGCTGGCTCTCTATGGCCACATACCTTTGGTGGCTCTGTGGTCATCTTGATGCTGGCCTGCAAGATTGAGATAGGGAAGTCTGGGTGGGGGCTGGAGCTGAGCCAGAGACGGAAAGATGGATGAGGATCCTCCACCTGCAGCTGCTCCACCAGCTTGTCCAAGTTAGGCATCCAAGACAGTGACAGATGGCAGTTTGCCAGGAACACCCAGTGTCCTGCAAGGAGATGCCAGGGTCAGTGGGAATCATTTCCTAAGCCCTGCCTGTCCTCATGCTTTCCACCTGGCGTAGGTTGGGGGGTGGCTGGGGAGGGTCTAGCACTCAGGTCTGCCACTTCTGGGGCTCTCTATAGAAGTGGGAGATGCAGGTACAGTAGTGTAATTGAGGTTGGAGGTTCTAGGGACAAGGACTGGGCTGAAGCTGGGGGTGAAAGAAAGGATGGACACCAACCCTGAGTCACACCCTCTCGGAGAAGTCGAGCAGCGATGGGGGCCTGGCCCTGGCCCAGGGACAGGGCGTGGAAGCGTTGGGCCATGCCTGTGTGCTCTGCCAGCTGGAGCAGGGCGCTGGTGGGGTCCACACCCGGGGACAGGATGAACACAAGTGGGGATCGTGGGGTTGAATCCTCCATCACCTGCCAGAAGCACAGGTATGGCATCAGGCAGAAGCCCACATAAGCAAAGTTGGGGAGAGAGATGGAGGACACTGAAACAGAGCAAGGAAAGCAGGAAGGACCCTGGGGTTGTGGGCTCAAGGAAGCCGAGCCACTGACCAGCTTCATATTCAGCACAGGCGGCTCGATGAAGCGGGAGCCAAGGTTGGTGACAATGAAGGAGGTCACGCAGAAGGCCACGCGGTCCTGGCGCAGGGAGCGGACAATCAGCATCCGTTGCATTTCATTGCAGGCATTTTCCCACTCACCTAGGGACGAGGTGAGTAATTGCAGGGAAAGGGAGTGAGTCTGGAAGAGCAGGGAATCCAGACAAAGGGGCACCTGCTGAGAATGTGCTCTGGCGCCAGCTGGGAGAGGGGATGGAGGACAATGGGAAGGGCAGGCACCTGGCTGAATGGAGGGAAGCAGAAAGGTGAGAGCTGGGCACAGACACTTGGTACCTGGCAGCATTGCCTTCTCCGGGGCAGCATTGGTATACCACAGGTGCCAGTCGCGAGGGTACTGCTCAAAGGAGTTCATGAGTCCATGGAAATTGGTCAGTTTGTCCAGCTCTGTGATGTTATCCCAGTACGCATCTGCAAGCCAGCTAGTACACGGGTTGTCCATTTGGCCCTCCCGATCCAGGACCTGGTGGAGGAAGAAAGGGATTGACTTGGGAATACCTCAAAAGAAGAATGATCTTTCCTCTCTCTCTCTCTCTGTGGGAAAGCCAAAAAAAAAAATTGTTTGTTATGTTTTTATTTTTTGTTGAGACAGAGTCTCACTCTGTCACCAAACTGGAGTGCAGTGGCGTGATTTCGGCTCACTGCAACCTCTGCCTCCTGGGGTCAAGTGGTTCTCCTGCCTCAGCCTCCCAAGTAGCTGAGAGTACAGGAGGCTGCCACCACACCCAGCTAATTTTTTTTGTATTTTTAGTAGAGACGGCGTTTCACCATGTTGGCCAGGATGGTCTCGATCTCTTGACCTTGTGATCCACCTGCCTTGTCCTCCCAAAGTGCTGGGATTACAGGAATAAGCTCCTACACTAAGCCTTTTTTTTTTTTTAAAGACAGAGTCTTGCCCTTGTCGTCCAGGCTGGAGTGCAGTGGCGCAGCCTTGGCTCACTGCAACCTCTGCCTCCCAGGTTCAGACGATTCTCCTGCCTCAGCCTCCTGAGTAGCTGGGATTACAGGTTCCCGCTACTATACCTGGCTAATTACTGTATTTTTAGTAGAGACAGGGTTTCACCATGTTGGCCAGGCTGGTCTTGAACTCCAGACCTCAGGTGATCCACCCTCCTCTGCCTCCCAAAGTGCTGGGATTACAGGCATAAGCCACCATGCCAAGCCCAAAATGGGTTTTGTATGAGAGTGAAGAGATGAATATAGCGATCCTGGAGAATAAACGTGGGGGTCTGGGAACCAGACCCTGCCCTTAGCCTTCACAGTTCAAATTTAGGAATCTGGCACCCTCTGCTGGTTGCCTAGTAATAACGTCTGCAACCTAATGGCTGGTTGGTAGCCTCACCCTTCAGAGAAACACAAACTATTTACTCATTCATTCGCTCACTTGCTTATTCATTTTTCTTAACAAATATTTATTGTTCACCAACTATGGATTTTAATCATTGGGATGCATTACTGAGAAAAATGGACAAATATCTTTGTCCTTGGAGATTTTATTTTCCAACATGGGATTGTGAAGTCATGGGCAGATTATGAACCAAAAACATAACAAATAAGTAAATAGTATAGCAAAGACGGCAGTGCCATGGGAAAATAGGATACTCCGAGGAGGGTAGGGAAGACTGGGAATGTTGAGGGGTAGTTTGAAGTGTGAAATAAGATGATCAAGGTCTCATTGAGGTGAGGTTTGAAAGAGGTGAGAGATGGCCAAGTACATATGCCGGGGAGTGGCTTTCCGGCAGAAGGCACGGCCCTGCAAAGGCCCTGAGGTAAGACATGCCATGGGGATTGGGGAGGGCAGTCAGGCCTATGTGGGGAGGGCAGTGAGGCCTGAGTGGGCGCTGTGTGGTAGGAGGTGGCGCCAGCCATGGGGAGCCTGTCACAATGACATCTACTTTAAAAGGGCCTCTCAGGCCAGGCACTGTGGCTCATGCCTATAATCCCAGCACTTTGGGAGGCTGAGGTAGGAGGATTGCTTGAGCCCAGGAGTTCAAGACCAGCCTGGGCAACATGGTGAGACCTTGCCTCTACAAAAAATACAAAAATTAGCCAGGCATGGTGGCGCAGGCCTGTAGTCCCAGCTATTCCAGAGGCTAAGATGAGAGGATGGCTTGAGCCCCGGAGTTGGAGGCTGCAGTGAGCCAAGATCACTGCCACCGCAGTCCAGCCTGAGTGAGGCAGTCAAACCTCTGATTGCTGTGTTGAGAGTCTGGGGTGGGAGGCACGAAGTGAAGGTGGCAAAAGTCAAGAAAACGTTGTTTAGGAGGGCAGGAGAGTGCAGCATGGCTGTCCAGCCTTAAGGGCCTCCTTGAGGTTCACAATCACGGACTTAAAGCAAGTCCATTCGGTGTGGATGTGTTCTTCTCCGGCCATGCTCAGCTGCATGGGCCATGCAGGGAGCCAGGGGAAGAGAAGCAGGATCTAGCCAGAGTGGTAGATGCAACACAGAGAGGAGGAAAACAGGGCTTGAGGAGCCTGCCAGGGAGAGATTGTGAGGGGACCATAGGACTCAGGCTGGGGAAGGAGTGCCTTGAAAGGCAGTAAAAAAGTGGCAAGATCACACCAATCGGTGGGTCACAAGTGAGACAAGCCACAAAGCCCAGCCTGTGCTGAGGGCCAGGGGGTGCATGGCAAGTCATCCCCGCAGCACCAGGGAGCTCACCGTGTACCTGATGCTGGCCTGATTTTTCTCAGCTCATTCATGGCCGCTGTGGGTCTGGAGTCCTTATCACACTTGCCCTCATCCCCATCCTTGACCATCCCATACTGGGATGTGATCTCTGCCCAACTCACCACACCCCCACGTAGAAAGAAGTTGTATTCATCCATGTTGAGCTTGCCAGAAGTCTCCAAGATTTTGGCACACATATGAAAACTGAATAGTAGTTTGTGGCGTTCAAAAAGGGTACGGCAGGTGTACCTGGGAGAAAGGGACAGGGAGGAGGGAGGAGGCAGAATGGAATGGGGGCTGCCACACCAACACTACAATCCTACCGTCACACAGCCTCACACAGAGGACCTCACCAGTCTCTAATCCTAACCTCCTAGAAACAGCCAAGGACTCAGGGACTAGAGACAAGAATTTCCCAGAGTTCACTCATAACTATAATAATAGCAATTATTATTATTACTGTATTAGTTTTTGAGACTGAGTTTCACTCTTGTTGCCCAGGCTTGAACAGTCTCAGCTCACTGCAACATCTGCTTCCCAGGTTCAAGCGATTCTCCTGCTTCAGCCTCCTGATTAGCTGGGGTTACAGGCACCTGCCACCACACTTGGCTAATTTTTGTATTTTTAGTAGAGACAGGGTTTTACCATGTTGGCCATGCTGGTCTCAAACTCCTGACCTCAGGTGATCCACCCACCTCAGCCTCCCAAAGTGCTGGGATTACAGGCGTGAGCCACCGCACCCAACCTTTCACTCATAATTAGTCATTCAGTTCCATTAAAAAACCAAAGCCTTCATTATTCCCCTAATGTCTTGCCAGGCACTCTGCTGGGTCCTGAAGACAGAAAGATGAATAAGCCACACTCTCAGAGAGGACAGAGAGGCCATCAGTTACGTCATCCCTGCTTGCTGGACTCAGGGAGTTTTCTAGAGGAGGTGCCTCAGGGTGCAGCAGAGTTTTCAGGTGACATAGGAAAGGCAGAGAGGTCACAGCATGAGCGAAAGCATGAGAAGGGCACAGTACACAGGGCAGTCAGGGCTGCTGAGGCCCCTGGTGCAAGGCAGGAAAGGTGAGGCTGAGGCAGGAGAAGGCCAGGTCACGAGGGCTTCGTGGCCCACTGGGGACCTAGCAAGCAACCACTGGCAGTCAGACCCGGGGAGCAGCATGTCCAGGTTTGCTCAGGCAGGCAGCTACAGGAGGGTGGGTTGAGAGGGTGGAGGCAGGAAGACCTCTAGGAGGCTATTGTACAATTCAGAAAAAAGGATCCCCAGGGCCTAAAGTACAGTCAAGGAATGGGAAGATGGAGAGGGAACAGTTTGCAGAAATATTCATGAACAAAACCTGGTGACTGCTTTGAAGGGGAAGAGTCAAGGATAACTGCCAATTTTGGCCAGGCATGGTGATTCATGCCTGTAACCCCAACATTTTGGGAGACCATGGCAGGAGGATCCCTTGAGCTCAGGAGTTTGAGACCAGCCAGGGCAACGTAGGGAGACCCTGTCTCTACAACTAAAAATTATACAAAATAAAGGATAACTCCCAATTTCTGGCTTGGGTGACTGGGTAGTGGGTGTTGGTGTCATCCAGGGATGAGGACTCTGAAGGAAGAGGGAAGAGAGTGAGTTTGAGCTGAAACTAGTTGAGCTTGAAGGGTCTGTGGGATGTCAGCATAGAGAAGTCCAGTTCCTTGCTGCTCAAATGTGATCCACAGACCAAGAGCAGTGGCGCCCGCTGGGAGCTTGTTTGACTTGCCCCACTCAGATCTGCCGAATCCCAACTAGTATTTTAACAGAGTTCGGGTGCTCTACCCGCCCGTTACCATTTGGGCAGTGCTGGTATCACCAACAGTTGAGTAGATAAGTCCAATGCTCAAGAGAGGGCTATAGCCACAAAACTGGGAATCACTGGCCCACAGGTGATGGTTAAGCCATGAGAGTGAGGGGCTACCAGGAGGACACAGGCAGGGGATGGTGGCAGGCTGAGGGCTGCGGCATAGGAAAGCACTAAGGCATGGTGGCCAGAAGAGCCCCGGCCACTCGGCCTCCTGGCTGGGGCATGTGGGGGAACCCTCAGACCTGTAGACAGCGTAGGTATGGTAGTCGTTCAGGTAGTCAATGCGGTCCTCCAGCTTAGTGCTGCGGTGGCTTTTGTCAATGCTGAGGATGAAGAGGCTGATGTAGGCATCCAGTGAGAACTGGTACATGGGGTCGATGCAGCCCATGTCATTGAGCACGAAGAACAGGACTGATGCCCGCTGGGCGCATGGGCGATAAGCCTGCAGGGGCCGAGGAGTCAAGGCCACCAAGGGACATGGCAGGGAGCAGGGGCTTGGGGAAAGAGGTGGTCTTGAGCCATCATGACAGTTTCATCTTGGATGGCTGGTGAAAGGCAGGGCGGGAGGGCACAGAGCTCACCTCCCGAGCCAGGTCGATGTTGATCTCTGTGGTCTCACTGGTCTCCAGCTGCTCAGTCACCTCTTTGGCCGTTATCTTGGAGGTCTGCAGCGTGTTTACCAGCTGCACATCATCTAGCAGGGAGCCGGTGGCCTCATTCAGCAGCCTATGGGGAGGCCCAGAGACACATGGAGCCGGGGTTCGGGGGGACCAGGCTTCCTGGGATGCTGCTGTGCCTGGGGTGGGCTGGGTGGAGGCTGGCTGGGAGGAGGCCTGTGGGGTGGTGGGAGGGGGAGGCAGGGCCTCACCGCAGGATCTCATCCTCCAGCTCCTTGAGCTTCCTCTTGCCAGCTGCAATGTTGATGACCAGTGAGTCCTTCTGCTCCTCTAGCTCAGGCCGCTCCTTCCGCACCACAATGCCCAGCAGCTGGGCCTCCAGGCCCTGGGAGCATCCAGACTCACCGTGAGGGGCTCTCACTCCTTCAGCCTTCACCTTCCTCATCCCTTTACACCTCGAAAGACCCCTCATCCTCAGCTGCCCAGCACAAGCTTATCCCTTTTCTCAATCCTTCCAAACTCTTCCTGCTTCATCCCAGCTCAGTCTGGACCTCAGCCTGCACCCACCTGTTCTTTAACAGCAAAGTTGACGATGGTGGTCTTGGCTGAGGTCTCTGGGCTGTAGTGGGGGTTGGAGAGCTTGGTGGTGATGTAGAAACGGAAATTGGTATTATATTCCACCTCCTTATCGCCAAGACGCATCAGCAGCCGACCGCCTGCATCCATGGAAGGACCCCCTGTGACAGGTACTGGCTAACCCATCCCTCACCAGCTGCATCCACGGAAGGACCCCATGTGAGGGGTACCGCCAACCCGTCCCCCACCAGCACCCAGGGACAGTGACTTGGCCTGCCCTAAGGCCCCAGCCCAGGGCTGTCTGAACGGAGGGACAGGTAAGTAGAGGACATAGTCAGAGAGCCAGCCCTTCCCTCCCTAGCATCCCACTCGGCTGGTCTCGGGGACTTGTCCTGACCAATTCGGGCTACAGATTTGTTGAGCACGGGATTGAGTGTGGGGTCCAGATATTCCGGCACGTTCTGAAGAAGCACCGGGTATCCAAACTGAATGGCATTTTCTAGAATTCGAAGATAATCGCTCATCTGCAGGTCGATGATCTTCAGGCCCTAGAGAGTGAGGGGGAAAGGTGGGGGAACACTCGGGGAGACAAGGGAGCTGACAGCCCAAGGGCAGGGCCTCAGGAAGAGGTGGGGCTTGGGGAGAAATTCTACCGGGGGACAAATGCGGCCCCCCCAGCCTCACACCTGGCTTCCTTCCATGTTCTTAATCCATTTCAGGGCCTGGGCCTGAGGGTCGATCATCAGTGCCCACCTGGAGGGGGAGGGCAGGTCAGAGGACAGCCCCGTCCCTGTGCCGCCCCCATCCCAGAATTACCCTTACCTATTGCCTCGGGTGACAATGATGCCATTCTCAGTGGAGAAGGCGTCAGAGGGCAACCCCTGGATGTTCCAGTCCCGGACTTTGGTAGGATTGGACAGGAAGTTCTCAATGGCGAAGGAAGGGGAGCAAGGAACCTGAAGCTCCCAGATCTGGGGAGAGAAAAGCCCCAAGCTTTAACTTGAAGAGCTGAGCCCAGCAGCCCCTGCCCCTGCAGGATATCTCTTAATATTCCCAAAGGTCCTGCCCTAGCCCTGGTCTCAGAGCCCCCTTATACCTGAGCCCCATCTCACCTTCCTGATCCAGATCAGGTTGACAATCTCATCCCGGTAGTTGGTCAGGAAGGGTCCCATGTAGGAGAGGAAGGCAGCTGCCAGGAGACAGTCCCCCACCAGGTAGCCCAGGTCCTCATCCAGGCCCTGGCAGACAGGAGGGAGGGTAAGCCTGCCTGGGCCCCAGCACTCTGGGAGACACTTGGAATGCTTTTGATGGCACCCTCCTCTGGACATTATCTAATTCAAAGAGGTTCTTTTCCATCTCCTCAACATTTGCATCCTGACAATTCTAGCCTGGTTCTAGTTACTTTTGAGCTTCCTATCTCTAATGGCAGTGTTTACATTCTGGTGATAAGGCCTAACCCTTTTCAGGAGCTCACTGAGGGCAGAAAGATGTGCCATGTCTGTTTTCTCTCCGGTCGGTGGGCTATGTCAAGAGTCCTTGTGTGCACTTCCCAGCCCTACCCAAACACTGAAGCAGATCCCAAATGGTGCAAAAGGCCTTTCTTCCATTGTTGTCACCAAAGGTGTGCAGGGGGAGGGGAAGGGCTCCCACGCCTCAGTTCTTAGAGTTCCATATACCCAGGTGTCCCTATTTTCCCTGACTGCCCCTCAAGCTAATGGGGATGGGTCTCTTGGAAGTGATGGGCAGAGTGAAAGAACACCAGGTGATACAGGTGAATGGAAGGACAGGTAAGTAGAGGACACAGTCAGAGAGCCAGCCTTTCCCTCCCTAGCATCCCATTCGGCTAGTCTCTGGGACTTGTCTTGATCTCACCTGGACTGTCTCCTCCCATCTGGCCTTCTCGCCAGCCAACCCTGACACCAGCATCCCAGCTCGCTCCAGCTTCAGCTCCATCTCTTCAGACTTCTTGCGAAGCTCCTCCTTCTGTGCCAGCTTCTCGTCATACTGTTTCTTCAGCATCTCCAGTTTCTCAGCTACCTGGGAGAGATTGGAGTATAGGGCATCAAACAGAGCCAGACTGTTTTGTTCAATTCACGACTCTGCCATTTGGTAGCTTTGTTAATCTCTTTGAGCCTCAGTTTCCTCATGTTACAAAAGAATACTTACCCTATAGGATTGTCCTGAAGAGTAAATGAGATAAAATACGTGTGATGAGGTAAGGTAAATTTTCTTCCCCTTTCTTCTACCACCCTTTCCTAGCTGGTAGGAGATGGAGACCTCTTGAAGCATAATAAACCACACAAGATTGGTTGTCAAGAGAAGGCCAGAGAGCACATAAATGACTGCCACTCCATGCCAGAGACCATACCTAAGGTGGAACCTTGAAAGAGGAAGAAGCAGCAAGAAATGAACCCAAGAGCTGTTCCTCTAACAGCTAAAGAGTCCACTCAAGACAAAGGACTGGCTGGGTGTGGTGGTTCATGCCTGTAATCCCAATACTTTGGCAGGTCAAGGCAGGAGGATCCCTTGGGGCCAGGAGCTTGAGAGCAGCCTGGGCAACATGGTGAGACCCCCGTCTCTATTCAAAAAATAGAAAAGAAAAAGGACCAAGTCCAAGGTCCCACACTAGAGATGGAGGCCTGGGCAGAACTGTGTATACTAGAGAAACCTCTCTCAAGTCATTGCCACCTAGGGACTCTGTTGAGGTTGGAATGAATATATATACACACACACATACATATAGGGATATATATGTATATATACACACAAACATATATAAAGGGAACTAACATATATGCTGTGCATGCTATGTGTAACCCTCACTCCATATTCCTCATGATGAAAAAGACAGTCATACAGTCTGTATCCAGGCACAACTGCTGTTGGCCAATCAGATACACATATAAGATCATACACACATACAGGATGTTGGGGCAGCTCTATCTGTTCTCTACTTCAGATTTCAGTGAATATATATATAATAACATATGTAATATATAACATATATCATAGATAATATATGTATAAATATACAACATATATGTATATAATATACAACATATAACATCTATATTAGAAGTACATAATATATAACACATTATGTATTATATGTATATACTATATAGGTAATATATATAATGTATAACATATATGTAACATATATAATATATATTTTATACAAATATCAACTGAAATCTGAAGTAGAGAACTGATAGAGCCTTGTTCTAAGATCCTGTATGTATGTATGGTATGTATATCTGATCGGCCAACAGCAATTGTGCCTGGATACAGACTGTATCACCATCCTTTTCATCACGAGGAATGTGGAATGGGGGTTACACATAGCATGCACAGCATACGTTAGTTCCCTTTCCTGCTGCCACCTCAGTAGGAAAGGCAGCCTGCAATTGTGGAAATAGTTCCACTACTATAAAGCAGAAGTAGCTCTGCCTTACTGAGTAATTCTGGTAAGTTTCAACCTTTTGGAGCCTTGCCGGGGTTACTGTGTATAAGGGTGATGTGCGCTGAGGTGCAGTACCAAGCACACAGCACCCAAGCAATACCTGGCCCAAGCACCTGGAAATGGTAGAGATCACTCTCCAAAAAATATTATTTAAAACAACGTGGAGATTCAAGGTGTCACCTTCCAGGGAGTCTCTGTGAATGTGCTGTGATTCTGGGGGCTGCCCGATAAAATAAAAATAAAGTGTCACCTCCCAAGGACTTGAGAGCTTATAGGTTCAGCCTTGGTAGTGACCTGATAGATGCCATTAACATCTAAAGAAAGAAGGTGTCACTCAGAAAGCACGTGGTCAGCTGGGCCACTCAGAGGAACACTCGCTGGGGGCCCACAGGGTGGCGGGGTGGGGGGTGCTCTAACCCCACACATGGGTGTCGGGTCTAGCCCTGATGGAGCCGATACTTCAGTGGTCTTTGCTCCAACACCTGCCAGTTGCCAGGATCATGTGATCGAGCTGGGTCCACGCTCATCACCAACATTCTGATTGTAATTTCACTTCCCTTGGAGATGTGTCAGTAGGGAGGCATCCAGGCTGCTTGATAGTTCGTTTTGTTTTATTTGTTTCCTTTATTTTTTTTTTTATAGATAGTTCTATGTTTCATTATTTTATGTGTGGTGGTGGTGTCGTCATTGTTTATTGTTTATACAAGAAATACATGTGCAAGGTTAAAACCTAAATGATATAAAAGAGGTTATAGGAAAAGTAGCATCTAGACCACCTTTCCCACACCCAGATTTCTTCATCTGAGGCAAACTATTTTTTTGTTTGTTTGTTTGTTTGTTTGTTTGTTCTGAGACAAGTCTCACTCTTGTTGCCCAGGGTAGAGTGCAATGGCGTAATCTCGGCTCACTGCAACCTCCACCTCCTGGGTTCAAGTGATTCTCCTGGCTCAGCCTCCCGAGTAGCTGGGATTATAGGCATGCACCACCACAGCTGGCTAATTTTTGTATTTTTAGTAGAGGTGGGTTCACCACGTTGGCCAGGCTGGTCTCAAACTCCCAACCTCAGGTGATCCTCCTGCCTTGGCCTCCCAAAGTGCTGGGATTACAGACGTGAGCCACCACACTTGGCCATGGCAAACCACTTTTTAACCACTCTCCTTTTTATTTATGCTGATTGTTACTTCTGTATCTCTGAAAAATATGCTTATGCCTCTATTTTTAAAGTATGCTAATCTCTTTGCAGCTTTGAATTTTTTAAAATTATTATGAAAACTTTTAAACCTAGAAACACCCATCAGCTAGATTTCACAGTTAACATTTTGCTATATATATTTCATATACTTGTTTTTTGCCAAAGTATCTTCAAGTAAATTAAAAACTCATGAAATTTTAAGCCAAAATACTTCATAACACATCTCTAAAAATTAATAAGGACATTTTTCTGCATAACCATAACACTATTATTACACCTAATAAAATCTTTGTCATATCTTAGAAAATAATTTTTTAGATTATTTTCTACCTGTTTTTTTTTAATAGTGAATACATTTACATAAATAAAAATCCAAAAGGAACAAAAGTGCCTATGGTGAAGGGGAGGTCTTCCTCCCACTCCTGGGCCCTGTCCCAGGCCCTGCCCTAGTTTCCTGGGTAGCTTTCTAGAATAGTTCCTGCACAGAATTGCTTCCATATAAAGAAAACATAAGCACTGTGAAGGCAGGGACTTGTTCACCACTGAATCTTTAGACCTAAAATAATGCTCAGTACTCACACATTTTTTTAATAAATGAATGTGCGGTTTTTTGTTTGTTTGTTTGTTTGTTTGTTTTTTAGACAGAGTCTTGCACTGACCCAGGCTGGAGTGCAGTGGCATGATCTCAGCTCACTGCAACCTCCACCTTTTGGTTCAAGTGATTCTCCTGCTCAGCCTTCCGAGTAGCTGAGATTACGGGCACCCACCACCATGCCCAGCTAATTTTTGCATTTTTAGTAGAGATGGGGGTTTCACCTTATTGGCCAGGCTGGTCTTGAACTCCTGACCTCCAGTGATCCGCCCGCCTCAACCTCCCAAAGTGCTGGGATTACAGGCATGAGCCAATGTACCTGGCCAGAATAAATGAATTTTTAATCAGTGGTTATATACTATAACACTGTTTGTACTTTACTATTTTTTTTACTTGTTTCCAAGTCAGTTCTTATGAGCTGCCTCATTCTTTTTAGCAGCTGCAAAACACTCTTGTGAGTGATTGAACTATGATTTATATAACAAGTCTCCAACAGATACACGTTTGTGTTTTTCCAACATTCTGCTATGAACAATGCTGTAATAAGTATCCTTGTACAAGGTCAGGCATGGTGTCACACACCTGTAATCCCAGCACTTTGGGAGGCAGAGGCAGAAGGATTGCTTGAGGCCAGGAGTTTGAGACCCCTGGCAACACAGCAAGACCCTGTCTCTACAAAAAAAAAAAAAAAAAAAAAAAAGAAAAAATTTTGTACAGGCATGAGCACATCTTTACACTGGTATTTCTTGTTCCTTTAATTTTTTTTTTTTTTAACTTGTGAGTTTTGGAATAGTTATCAAAAATTCAAAAGGCCCAAGGGCATGAGGGTAGGAAAAGTCTTCCTCCTAACTCTGTTCCCCACTCAGCCACGTCCCTTCTTTAGAGGCAGCCAATGTTACTATTGTTACCAGTTTCTTGACTTTCCTTCCAGGGATATTCTATTCTTGACTCTCCTTCCAGGGATATTCTATACATATAGAAGTGCAGTCTGTATTGCTGTTGCCTGGTGTATTCATTTTAGATTATTTCTTTTTGTTTTGTTTTGTTTTTTGAGACGGAGTTTTGCTCTGTCGCCCAGGCTGGAGTGCAATAATGTGATCTCGACTCACTGCAACCTCCACCTCCCAGGTTCAAGCAATTCTCCTGCCTCAACCTACCAAGTAGGTGGATGACAGGTGCCCACCACCTCACCTGGCTAATTTTTTTTTTCTTGTATCTTTAGTAGAGATGGGGTTTCACTATGTTGGCCAGGCTGGTCTGGAACTCCTGACTTCAGGCAATCTGCCTGCCTCGGCCTCCCAAAGGGCTGGGATTACAGGTGTGAGCCACCGCACAGGCCCCATCTCTACTAAAAATACAAAAATTATCTGGGCGTGGTGGCAGGAGATTTGCTTCAGTAGCTGTAGTCCCAGCTACTCAGGAGGCTGAGGCAGGAGAATTGCTTGAATCAGGGAAGTGGAGGTTGCAGTAAGCCCAGATTGCTCCACTGAACTCACTCCAGCCTAGTAGACAGGGTAAGACTCCGTCTGAATTGTGCACTTTAAAATGGTTACAATAATATATTTTATATGTGTTTTACCATAATCAACCCCCTAAGAAAAGGAGGTATACGTATATGAATTTATAACCACCAATACGGTAGATGCTTATTGGTTGGATTATATCTCTTATATTAATCTATTGCTAAAGATTTCTCCGAGTTAAATTTAAGTGCACAAGTTATGGTTCCAGATAACTGACATTTTGTTGAAGCTGAAACCAAGATTTTCTCCATGTATCCTCATTTCCTCAAATGCTATTGGGTTTCTACTATGGTCTTTGGCAACAGTAATAACCAGTTTTTTGGCAACATAATTTTATCTGCAACTTGTATATGCCTTATTAAGACCCTTGAATTCTTTTTTAATCTCGAATGATGCTCATGAGAGACTTCATTCTGAACTAATACAGCCTTTAGTTTCTGAGGAACAGCATACTTTTCCAGGGAGAAACAGCCCAGCTTAAGAGAACTGATCTACCCAGAGAACTCCCACCCCACTATGGTCCAAATGTTCATGTCTCACTCAAAATTCATGTTCGAACTTAATCCGCAGTGTAGTGGTGTTGGGAGGTGGGGCATCTGGGAGGTGATTTGGTCATGGGGGTGGGGCCCTCAGAAATGGGATTAGTGCCCTAATAAAAGAAGCCCAAGAGAGCTTGTTTGTCCCTACTGTTATATGAGAACACACATAAGCATCATCTGAGAGGAACTGGTCCTACC